CCGGGGAGACAGAAGCTGGTCCTGAGGTTTTGGTATCCATTTCTTTACAATCACAAGTGTTCTGGCACTTACAGTCTGCTACTCTGGGTTATCTGTGTGATACTACCATTGGCTTCTGAAGCTTAAAATAGTATCCACTGACACACCCAGGTGGACGTCAAGGGTGAAACCAGTTCCAACTTGGCAGGTAGCTGCTCAAGTCATCACAGAAAAATCATCAAGTATGCAAAGGCTAATAAAGTCCGTCAGAAAACAGAGATCAAATCCTTCATAAAAACAAAACTAAAAAAAGAAGGAAGGAGGAGGGGCTATGCACACACACACAAAACTCCAGCTGTAATATTACTTGAGGGCTTCCTAAAAGAACTATTGAATGGTTTTGTCAACTCATTCAGTTTCTATCCATTGTGTCCAATGAGGAAAATCTTTACAAGTTAACTACTATTTATTCTGAAAGTTTGAAACTTTAGAAAACATATATTTTGAAAGACAACAAACTCAAAAACAGTTTTGAATTCAAATGAAAACATGTTGGCATCTGATTTTTTCACAACTGAGGTTGTAAAAAGATCTGCCCAGGGCAACTACTTGGCTTCTATCAGATGTTGGACAAGAATGGTCTTGGACTTATCTATCATGGCATTTCTTACATTGTTATTTGATCACTCCAGCCAATAAAAAGGACCAGCTGGTGAGAGAGGATATAGTCACCCACTGGCTAGAAAAGGGGTGCATAGGAGTTTCTCTACAAGTCAGCCTCATTTTTCACCCCATTGCTGGCATAAATATATAGACAGGTGCTGTAAAGAGGGAGTTGATATAGCTGGATGAAGGCTAGGGAAAGGAAAACAGAAACATTACTAAATCACATTGGGTGACTTGTTTTCATTGTATTATTCACATTGTTGTAAACCACTCCAAGTCCCCTCAGGGAGATGGAGTGGGATATAAATTAAGTTTTATTATTTTTATTATATTGCTTTTCTTTTGGAGTCAACATGACATTTGGTTGGAAGGAAAGAATGGTATGGTTGCGGCAACTGGCTACACATTGTCTTTGGTCCTATTTAATTATACGTCCTAAAGAAAACATTCAACCTGTCTTTGGCTGCTGTGCCCACACTTTCTGTGCTAACAGAACAGAAATTAACATGTAACTGATATGTACTGGTTTTGAGAACAGACCTGTTTCCAAAAACAATCGTGTGCCAGGAGGAAGAAGGTGTAATCAAATAGAGAAATATCATGCTTAATAGGGGCATGGACATTTATTGTTTACATTCCTCCAAGCTGGTGGAATGTAAGACTGCTCCCTTTGTACCTAAAGCAAACATAGAGCAAGAAAGACCTCTGAAAGATATCAAAATAAGTCCATAGCCAGAAACAAATAAATGCACATGTATAGCCAGCCCTCCACATTTGCGGGTTTGACTTGTGATTTGATTATTCACTGATTTGATTAATATGTTACCTCTAGGAATCTCTAAAGTCCTCTAGGTCAACTTCCAACAGAAGCAACAATGGAAGACCTAAACAGGTATTTTCTCAAAAAAAAATGCCTTTTTGCTGTTTTTCTGCTTTCACAAGGGTCTTGGATGTCTAATGTAGAGGGCTGATTATATTTCCAAATCTGAAGTTTTATTTTTCTGATCTTTGTTTAATTACCAAACATTTTTGTCCTATGGGATTGTTGCCATTCTTCCTTGAGACAATGTACACAACTCAAACCTTACAAGTATTAAAATTAGTCTTCCTGTATCTTCACGATATTTCTCAGATGGAAAAACTAGACAAGTGGCAGTTTTGCTATTTGTGTTCATATCTAAATATCAGAACAAAATACAAATACATTCTGTTTTAATTCATGAGAGAGTTGGTTCCCAAACGTATTTACCCAACTGAACATATCATTTTTCCTAGACTGGTGTATATAGGAAATGAAATGTAAACCTATAGCCTTAAGGTCAGTAATCCTGTCTGCTCAATCTGCACATCCTGCTGCAGGGAGAAGAAACAGAATGCACAATTAGCTGCTTAACCTTGTGGGAGTGAGATCTATATATCTGATGGGATTGAAGTCTTATATTAACATAGCAGCACATTTTCTAAATGTTCTGAGGGCAACACTGACGTGCTTTTCTGAAGGCCTCTATTGTCTTGCTGGAAATTGATTGGGAACACATCCAACAGAGAGACCGGTTTCTGGTTAGCCTTGTTGAACTAGTTTCATCTCCGCTCAGGTGCTATGGCTAGATTCCTGCTTTGGGCCCACTAAGCAAACATCTCAAAACAATTGCATTAGGAATGACCACTCCTATCTCTATGCCACTTGGGATGTTTAAGCCTCTTCCACTTCAATGAGATGCATTACGCCAGGAAAACCATGGACAGGGAGAAGTATTCAGAGGCTACCAGTGCTGCAAAACAACCATCTGACAATTCACTTTAAAACCTGCACTGTTGTGCTTACAGGGTGGAAGAGAATAATGAAAAAGGAAAAAAATGTTGGTATAGCTTTCATTTCTGTCTGTCTTTACCACGTCAAACATTCAGCCCTGAAATTATAGGCTGTGGTCTAATGCAAGGATCTCCAGGAGAGGTCCTGATCATTTCTATCCCCTGATGTCATTACCAGAATGTGATTGAATATGACAGGCTTTGGGTCAATTTGACACTTCTCTTACAGATGTTACGGTAAATGTTGATACATGACAGTAATTCTCAGAACAGTTAGAAGGATAGTGGGAGATATGTATGCACTCCTACACATAACATCCAAACCTCAAAGAAGTATCTCCCTCGTGAAGAAACATGTTCATTTCCAACAATTATTAATAAATACCAGCATTTACTGAGGCATGTTTAACTTTTTAAAAACTTTGAGCATTTTAAAGTTTATTGTAATTTTTTTTACATATGATCATCATCTTGGGGGAAAAGTGGAATATTAAATGAATCAGAATTATTTGATTCAAACTTCAGGAATTAGACTCTAATTACAGAAAAGAGATTCCACCTAACTTTAGGAAGAACTTTCTAGTGGAAGGGCATATTGTCTCAGAATGTGGTGGAATCTCTCATTAGATGTTTTCAAACAGAGGCTGGATGACCACCTGTCAGAAGTGCTATAATTGCATATTCCTGAATGTTGCTTTTTTAGTCTATTACAACTCTGTGTCCTAATGATTCTATGACATTGACTTGAAATATTTGATTTTTGAAATTCACCAGACAAAGTCAGAGTTTCTGCCACTTCCGACTTGTCTTGTAATATATTAAGGAACTAGCTGCCCCGTCATGCGTTGCTGTGGCCCAGTCTGTGTGTATGTGTTTTGTGTGTGTATATGTGTGTATATATTTGCGTATATGTGTGTTTGTGGTTTTGCGCATGCATTGTAATTTTTGGTTTTGGGTTTTTCAGTCTCTTCTGCTGTGCTTATCAGTGTTTTTATGAGTGATGTTCATTCGTTGGTCTGATAGGTGGATTGTGTCCAGGTTTGGTGTCAATTCGTCCAGCAGTTTTTGAGTTATGTTAATCCCACAAATGAACATTACATTTTTATTTATATAGTGGTAGATGATAGTGTTTATTGAACAGCATCTTGTGATGTATATACACACTGTATAGCTTACAGCGGTCTCGGTTCCAACCCTGTCACAAGCGTGGTTGGTGGGAATAAGAGAGGGGGCCTTCTCCATGATCGCTCCCTGTCTCTGGAACCCCTTCCCGAAATAAATAAAAACAGACCCCACCCTCCTCTCTTTCAAAAAAGTCTTGAAAACACACCTCTTCACTTTGGCATATGGAGAAGAGGAGGATTGGGATACTTTAGACCAGGGGTCCCCAAACTAAGGTCCGGGGACCAGATACAGCCCTCCAAGGTCCTTTACCCAGCCCTCGCCCAGGGTCAACTAAGTCTGAAATGACTTGAAAGCACACAACAACAATCCTATCTCATCAGCCAAAAGCAGGCCCACACTTCCCATTGAAATACTAATAAGTTTATATTTGTTAAGATTGTTCTTAATTTTAATTATTGTATTATTTTAGGTGTTTTTTGCACTACAAATAAGATATGTGCAGTGTATATAGGAATATATTCATTTTTTTTTCCATTTATAATCCGGCCCTCCAACAGTATGAGGGACTGTGACTTGGCCCTCTGTTTAAAAAGTTTGTGGATCCCTGCTCTAGACAAATGTCATTGGAATGCTGGCTGACTTACTTGTACCCCATGGCCACAAATGGTACATTTTAAAAAACAACTAGAACAACCAATGTTTATCTATTTTAATTGTTTTACTGTGACAACTGTTTTAACGTTGATTATGTTTTTAATGTACTTTGTTTTATGTGTTTATTTGTATCCTGTTTTTCATTTTTGATGTTTAATTTTTTCATGCAATTAGTTCACTGTTGTTATTATTTTGTATTATGTCATATTGCTTTGATGTATTTGCACTTGTTTGGGAATTGGATGTTTGCTTTGTTTTGTGTGTAAACTGCCCTGAGTCCTTTTGGGGAGAGAGGACAGTCTAGAAATAAAGTATTATTTTTATTATTATTATTATTATTACATGCATGCTCACTCACTTGCTTTCTGGTTGGAGTGCAAAGCTCTTTGCTAGGTCTTTGCATAATGTCTAAAAGCTCTTCTCTCCCAGTAGCTGTCAAACCCCAAGGTGAGCTGCTGCTGTTTCAGAGAGGACAGATAATGAAGATGCAACTGCTCTAGGCTCTCAGGGGAAGGACAAATAAAAGGAACCCAGTGTTCTTTTGTTTCTTCTGCCCTTCAAGATGACACCAGCTGCATCTTCATCAACTGAGCTGCCTCCTCTTCCCACCACCTTCCTGGGCTGAGCCAGGGGAGAGACATAGAACTGTATAAGGGACGCATTAGTTGCTGTCTGCTCAATGTAAGATCTGAGGCACTGAACGTTATCTGCTTCTCTGACAACTTTTGCTAGGAAGCAACCCCATAAAAACACAGCAAGAATGATCAAAGTTAATAAATAAAACTTTATATTTTTTTCTTTAAAAATAGTTACCCAACATATCTTAATAGCAAATCTAAACTATAAAAATATTACCTTTTTGGCCACATTAGTCATTATGGTTATTGATGAATTTTTGACACAGTATTTGGCAGAGATGCATGGCCTTAAGATTCACTTACACCAAAGGATTATTTGTCCTTGCCTCTCCTACAAAATCATATGCTATTTCCATGATATCAAAAGCTTTGTGAGGACTTTCAGATGATAGCAGAGAGGAGAGGGCACCCTCTCTTTCTCTGTTTTTCTTCAGGAAGTCAGCAATCATTCGCCAGCGTGTGCCTTCTGACTCTTCTTCTGCCCATTTGTATTCTGGAAGGATCACAGACTGGAGAAGAGGAAAGACAGAATCGTGGTACACCAGGTTGAATACAGACTTCAGAAATTCCTGGTCTCTCTAAAAAGGGAAGACAAATTTAAAATACATTAAATGTTTGATAGAATCCTACAACTGAGTTTCTGAAAAACTTGGGACTAGAACCGTTTTGGATATTTCTGTATTTTGTAATATCTGTATTTTTGTGTGTGTATAGAGAGAGAGGCGGGGGGAGAACGAACCTGGAGAAGGGACATAAGTACAACATGAAATTCATTTATACTTCATAAATATATAGACTGAAGATTATTTTATACAATACTTTGATTATTATTATGCAGGAGACAAAGTTTGCGTACATTGACCCAGCAAAAAACCAAGGTATCACTATCTTAGCCACTCATGTCACCAATTTTGAATTTTGGACTTTAGAGGGTTAGGCGCCATCACCCAACCCTCAAAATCAGAGGAAACGTGAATATCTCCAGGGGGATGGGACACCTCCACTGCACATAGCTGGCTCCTCCTCTTACAATGTGCCACAAATATCTGATTGTGGACCGATTATCAGAGGCTCTGAAAGTTAAAGTTCAACAACATCTAGGTACCCAAATTTGTGAACCACTGTTTTATAGAAAAGGTTTCTTCAGATGGTGGCTGAGTTCTCACATGTGGATTCCATTTCTACATAATGCAACTTACTTCGCTTATATTCGTTTTGTTTATATTTCTTTCTTTTTTTTAAAGAAGAGATAAATTGAAAGGCAAGCTTAAAAAACTCAGAGAGGGAAAGAGATAAAACATATACTATAAGTCATCCTAATGTAGATTGGGATAAAAGGTGAACCCCAAAATGGCGAGAGACTGCAATCAGAAATGTTTTATATTAGAACTGCATAATACTAGTAAACACATTTGGCTGAGATGGTCACACTGATTCTATTCTGTGTTGTATCCAGTAGGAATCAAACCCAGGCTAGTGCCACAGTGTAAAAGAAGGATTACAGCTTGTTCCTGCTCAAAACTCCTAAAACGTATTGATCCATTTGCTTGAAACACTATTTACATTCTTCCCCATCACAGCAATAGTGCCAACAGAATCTAACACTGGATCCTACTGTCAAGAACTAACAAAGGGTGAGAGTGAGGCTTAAGCATTTGGATCTTTCCAGGACTAGGCTTTTATGTGCACTCGTGTATAAACTATAATTCTGGCTCAAAACAACAGTACTCCCATTTTCTTACCTTTTCAGATCTCTTCAATATGCTCTCTTTCTCTGCCCAGGCACTCTAAAATCATAAAGAGTCAAGGCGAAAGCCATCCATCAGGTTAGAGTGTCAGGGAAGTTGTAAACAAGCACAGAAGGACTCAAACAATGATGGAGATGTCTGACACAAAGGGAGAGGTGACCAAAAGGGGGAATAATATCTAGACCTCGGGGGAAACATGTGGAATTCTAAAACTGCTGAAAAATACCTAAAGAAGGAAAATGGTTAACCCAGATCATAAAATCCCCTTCATGTGTGTTGGGCAGAACCCAAATGTACAATTTTGGTTGATTTAACCCATTGATTTTCTTCTTTTTCAGAAATGAAATAGATGAAATCAGAGAGGTTGCTGGAGCTGATCTCCAGATGGGTTGGAAGAAGAGGAAGGCACATTTCTCTCTTTTCCTGCTGTTCACTGAGATTTTAAGCTAAACCCTACGCAGAGACACCTAAGGCTAAACAGATTCTGGTCCTTCAGCTTTTTTCTCAAAGGATTCATATTCATTTAGTTCTCTGATGATGTGAACATAAATCACTCAGTAATGACCACAGGAACGTCAAACTCTATGGAGCATTTATTTCAACTCACCACACCCTGTCATCGCATTCCAGCCCCTCCTGTGTCACTTCTTTCCAAAGAGTTTGGGCATTTTGCTTCTATTTCTGTTTACTTTGCCTCCTGTGATTTACCGCCACTTAACAACACCAGTTTAAGAAAAGCAGCTCCTTAAAAGTGCTATGAGGACAGAGTCATTCAGTTTTCTTGTGCAGGAACGAAACAGGGTTTCATTTAAGCTGTCCTTTCAGATTACTGATGCAATACATTTCACCCACCCTGAGTGCGTCCATAAGATCAGGCTGCTCCATGAGTTTGGGAAACGTCGCCAAAATTGGATTGCCAATCAAATCTGCAAGAAGAACCAGAAATGTATTTGTTACTGATAAATGTGTTAGTAATATTTTATGTAAGACAGAAGTAATGTTCAGAAGAATTTAAATGGTAGCTTTGTCCTTTCAAGATACCAAACATTCACAGTTTGAACACTTTGAACACATAAAGAATGTTGTTGGAGAAACAAGAACACTGCTGTCTCTGTAACAGGATTGGCTGCAATAATATTCTAAAGAAAACCAATATCCAGTATAGTATTTCAAGGTGGAAACATTACCAATAGGAGCAGCAGCAGAATGTGGTGCCAAAATATATAGAACCCATAATTTATAGCAAAGTTCTTGAAGTAGATAAATGTTCTAATTTTCTTTGCAGAGAAAAAAGCTTTATTCAGTCGGAAGTGGTTCTTGTTTTACTATGTTAGAAGTATACTTTTAACAAACAAACAAGAATTTGCCCAGAGAATTTTGGGAAGCCCTTGACTCTCACATTCATAAAACAACTGTCATTCTAAAGCAGTGGTTCTTATCTTGTGGGTCCTCAGATGTTTTGGCCTTCAACTCCCAGAAATCCTAACAGCTGGTAAACTGGCTGAGATTTCTGGGAGTTGTAGGCCAAAACACCTCAGGACCCACAGGTTGAGAACCACTGTTCTAAAGACTGGAATGAGTTTAACTATTTGAATGATAATTTCTATATAGGAGGCATCTGACACAAAAGAAACTTTCTAAAATGTATAAAAGGAGATCCAATTACTATTGGAAAGGAAAGGAAAATATTGGAAAAATTTACCATATGCCGTGGTCTTGTAAAAAAGCCACCAAATATAGGACTCAGATATACATGATACTAGAAGATATTGTAAAGATTAACATTACAGTGAAATCTGAACTTCATTTGTTAGGGATGCTAGATGACAAATTAGAAAAGAAACATGGAAATTACTATTATATATTAATACAGCAGCAAGAATCATCAATGTCCAAAGATGGAAAGAACCAGATATACAGACATAGGAGGATTGACTGACAAAAATATGTGAATTAGCAGAGATGGACAAATTGACAATGTTGATTAAGGAAAAAATCCTTTGATATTTATTATTTTTATAGAACAAAGATTTTGCACTTATGACTTTTGTGGATTTGATCATTTGGGGATTTGTTTTGAACATCAATGATATATCACTAAGTGCTAGACATTACTGCTACAGTGCTTACCTGTATTTTGCATATTTAGCCTGTCCCTAAGGAGCACATCACCAAGAATTTGACGATAAAACAACATGAGGTGGGCATAGCACATACTGCCAATTAAAACTTCTGGTAGCATACTTGTTAAAAGAAAAACAAAAGAAAGCATGTTGTCACTGAAGGTTTCTCCTGATATACTTCAGTACATCTTTAACATACAAGATTTTTGAATAACAACATGTTAATGTGGACAATCATAAACTACTACTTTGGGTTTCTTAGCTTCTAAGGAATTCTGGCATTCAACAATGAAAAAAGGGAAGTAACCACACAATTAAATCCTAACCAAAGGAGGCAGTGTATACTATAGACCTCTCAGTGAGAGGTATTAAGCGATCTGCCATAAAAGGTAGCAGTAAATATATTGTCTAGATAAGTCTTTTCTATGCAAAATTAAATGTCTGGGCCTATGCTAACATCATGGAGCCCCTGGTGGTGCAGCGGGTTAAACCGCTGATCTGCTGAATTTGCAGACTGAAAGGTTTGAAAACATGCAAATGTGAGTAGATCAATAGGTACTGCTCAGGCGGGAAGGTAACGGCGCTCTATGCAGTCATGCTAGCCACATGTGCCTATGGACAATGCCAGCTCTTCAGCTTAGAAATAGAGATGAGCACCACTTCCCAGAGTCAGACACAACTAGACTTAATGTCAGGGGAAACCTTTACTTTATCTTATGCTAGCATCATTCTTCAAAAGTAAAGTATCTTATTTACATGCCATACTATCTTTTAAGAAGTCTTCATATTAGCGATATTAAATGACTTAAATCCACCAATCCATTAATTGGAAATGATCTTTAATTCAGCCAAAATATTTAAATTGCTAAATGTAATGGACTGAACAGCAAAAAACTATCGAAGTGGCTCTTCACAGAATGTGAAATTTCCCAGAAATTATTTGAAAACCAGTGATAATTTTGCCAGCATCACACACATAATGCACCCCTTGAGAAAAGCTACTACAATTTATTTATTTATTTATTTATTTATTTATTTCCTACATTTGTACCTTGCCCTTTTCACCCCCGGGGAGTGGGGGACTCAGTGTGGCTTCATAACAAGCACTCATTTTAGTGCTAATCACAAACATAAAATGCAGTTTAAAACAATTCATTTTAAAATACATTATATTAATAAAAACACTTGTTTAAAATCCCGCCAGTTTAAAATCAGTGTCTGAGTTGGTCCACTGTCCTTCATATCATATTAAATCATCCCAATTGTGATGACTGCTTACAATGCAGTCATCACAAGAAATCACAAGAAATCAACTTCAGATTTTGATCACTCACTTCAATATATCTTTAGACCGTGTACTTAAGGACCTCAGCTTCACTAAAAGTTGTGGCTGCTTCCTCAGTGCTATCATTTGGTGGAAAACACTACTGCTGGCTGTTGTAAAAGCAACAATACATAATATTAATTTTAGTGATAATAGATTTCTTTCTACTTGTATAATGTATTCATTGAAATATTTTATATCCCACCCTTTATCCAAAGACCTCAAGGTAACTTACAACAAAATCAACTTATAACAATAAAAATACCAAAGTTTAGAAGATTAAATATACATTAAATAGTTTTGTTCAGTTTAAAAACACTTTAAAACTGGTTAAAGCAATCCTGAATAATTATAAAGTGTGAACCATCTGGATAAATTCCATTTGGCCCAAAGACTTTAATAAAAAAACAGATTTTAACTTGGCACTGAACTTATTATGATATTGATGCCAATCCTGCCTCTAGAGGAAGGGAATTCACCAGCCCAGGCAGTCTCCAATGTTCTCCAACTGATGCAACACAGAGGAGGAACCTCCCAATAGATCTCAGTTCTTGGGCACTGGCAGGTCTATAGAGAGATGCATCCCTCTGGTATAAAGGTGCCAGGCTATTCAGAACTTTATCACCTTCAGTTCAGAACAGAAACATATTGGCAGCAAGTGAAATTCCCTTAGAACAGGTATATGGTGCCTGAATAGAACTCCTGTGAGCACTGTGGCTACATTTTGCACTAGCAGCAGTTTCTGCAACCCCTTCTACACTGCTATATAATCTGGATTATCAAATCAGATAATTCACATTATCTGATTTGAATTGGATTATATGAGTCTACACTGCCATATAATCCAATTCAAAGCAGATAATATGGATTTTATATGGCAGTGTAGATGGGACCTGAATTGCCCTTCAAAGACAACTGCGTGTAATTTGACTTGTAGTCATCCAATTGGGAAATTAGCAGGGCATGGACTTCTGTGATTAAGTTATCCTTGTCCAGAAAAAGCTGTAGCTGACAGACTAGTTGAATTTGGCCCCAAGAATGCCAAGACATAGAGTCTATGCACACCTCCAGTGACAGGGATAGATCAAGAAATACCCTTCCAAACTAAATAGCTGCTTTTTCATTGGTAGTACAACTATACACATAGCAGGCAAACTACTCAATTTCCTGACTCAGGAACCACCAACCTACAGAGCCTTCATCTTGTCGGGATTCAGCTTCACTACTGATTCTTAAGCAGCCCATGACAGCAGCTGGCACCTCATAGCTGACTCCAATGACAAGGAAAAGTAGAGCTGAATGTCATCAGCTGAAGTTAAACTCTTAATGACCTCTCCCAGCAGCCTCATATAGAGGTTGAACAGAATGGAAGACAGGACTGAAATCTGTGGCACCCCAAAACACAAGGGCACTGTGTCCTGTGAATCAACCTTGCAAGCATGAACAGAAACCCTGAAAAACTGTGCCACTTGCTCCCATCTACCTGAGCCAGTCCTGTGCAATTCCATCATAATATAAAATAAAAACTCAATATCACTCATTTCAGTTTAACTGTAGGAGACTCGAGAGAAACCAATGGTATTTTTATTCAGCTAGCAAGTTGTATAGCTTATAAAAGACTGGAAAAAATTAACAATGGGGATACTAAGTACTAGTTTTGAGTCATAGTCTCCATTATCTCCAGCAATTATCTCTGAATATCAGGTGCTGACCAGTAGGAATCATAGAATCATAGAGTTGGGAGAGACCTTGTGGGCCATCCAGTCCAACCCCCTGCCAAGCAGGAAAATCGCATGCAAAGCACCCCCGACAGATGGCCATCCAGTTTCTGCTTAAAAGGCTCCAAAGAAGGAGCCTCCACCACACTCTGGGGCAGAGAGTTCCACTGCTGAACAGCTCTTATGAGAATGAGAACATGCCACTGATATCTCAAAGATATATCTAGTTAGCCTCTATGTAAAAAGAATGCCAAATTGACTAGACCTTTAATATGATCCAGCAGACCTCTTCCCGTGTGCTTTCTCTCTTCTTTTTAAAGCAATTTCTCATTTCTCTGCGACGTGCTTTTCTGCCCCACTTGTAGCAATTTGAGTAATTGTTTGACACTTAATGAAATTTTATCTAATTAATTTTAATACTGCTTCTCCCTTCTCTGTTTGCAATGTTCCTTTCTATCAGATTTAAACCAGTGGCAGAGTAATGCTGGTTTTGTTCTTTTAAACTTGCAAAGTGCAACCTCAGTATTAGAGTATCCAAAATTAATAAAATAGCTGAGGCTTTCTGACATAATCATGAAGCTATGCTCATCAAACAGTTTTCATTGTTAGATAAGTGAAATAAACGATACCTCTTCTTGAAATAGATGGATCTACCTCAACTCCTTTTTCATATGGGGTCCCACCATTCAGAAGGAGTTCGTAAGTTCTGCAGAATATACAAAGGAAGATAAATAAGCACTTTGTGACCTGAGGGTGAGAACTAAAGTGAAAATATATACTTTTTCTAAAATTACTGGAGATAAATAAATAAATAAATCCCTTCTGAATTTACAAAGCATTTATATTCTAAACAACAACAACAAAATGAAACCACACTTTTCTTAATGATTAAAAGTTAATAACTCAAAATTATATCCTCAAAATATTGCATAACACGGTTTCAGAAAGTCTTTCTTCCAAGGAAAGTTCAGGTAGAGAGTACGACTCTAGAGACCAGAGTTCAAATCCTCACTTGGTTATGAACTCCTCTGGGTGACCTTTGGAAAACCACATTCTCTCGGCCTCAGAGCAATGGCAAACCTCTTCTGAACAAGTCTTGCCAAGGAAACCCTGTGATAGGGTTGCCACATGGATCAGAAATTACTTGTAGACATAGAACAAAAACAAAAAAAATAAAATTATCTTTTGTGTTATGGACTGTATCCACTGTTGCACTGGTTAAGAGGAATGCTAGGAATATTACTTTTCCACACTTCATCTACTACCATTGAAAAAACTGCCATCTTCTCTGTAATGTTATGGGAGGGGGACTGAAGCTCTGCATTGAGACTGTGACACTGAGGCAGCAAAGCACTGGACTGAGAGGAAAATAAGATCCTAAATATTAGATATACATCCCAGTCACACCAGATGCCTCTACCCAATTTTTAGAGATAATGTCCTTTCCTTGCAGTGTGCACCATTTGGGATAGCTCCCTGCCTTTCAGGGAGACTAGGAAGGCATTCTGGGACTTTCTAGAAGGAGAGCCACAAGTTTCCCTGGAACAAACTTTATAATATTGTATTATATAAAGCACTATGCATATAGTGCCGTGAGATATATTATTATGTACTATTCCTGTCAATTGTAAAATTCGGTCATATATCAACCTATATACAAATCCATCCAAACAGGTATCATACATTGACTGATAAAAGTGGAAAGCAATTTATTGGATGCTGACACAAAAAACAACATCATAAATAGACCCATCAAATCAAGGTGAGTTCAGGTTGATAGGTATATTAGCTTGTCTTTCAGAAGACAACATTCAGTAAATAGTTTTTATATTATCTGGCAACCTATGGATCCTGTTTGAGGGATTCTGTCCAAGTCCTAATAGCTGAGGGAGCAATCGCTTGTTGTAACCTTTCTCCATACCAAAGCAGCACTGCTCTAGGATTCTACAGAAAGCACATAGACACAATATCTTGCATTCTCCTGATGGTGCATTTAAGCTTAAACGTTACTGTGGCATCTTGAATCCTCAACTATGTGTCAAAACCTGCTTTTTAAATTCTCATACATTTCAATAATAGCTTACCATTTTGTATAAGAGCTGAATTAAAAAAACGATGTCCAAAGAACTACGAGGCTCATAGCTATTTGCACAGCTCTGTGAGTCACAACTTAGGTTGGTCAAGTTCATCAGGTTAATGTAAGGCTTCTTTGAGATCAAACATCCACCCTAAGGTGCATTTAACAGACGTCACCTAATGCAAAACTCACTAAATTTACTTGTTTTGAATTCCATTCCAAATGACTTACTTCTGTGTTGTTTAAACAGTACAATTCCATGCAGAAACACAAAGTCCCTGCTCCCCATTGCATTTAATCTAATCTGGAAAAAATGCTTTAGCATAATAATATGTTCCTTTGTAGCATCACAGAAATTATAAAGGGGACAGTCAAACTGTGACAAAGAAATGCTTTTGGCTTTTAGCTTCTTACTATAAAAGCTATGCATTGCCCTCCCAGTTTATAAGCATATCTAACCAGTTGGAGATATTCCAACAGAAGTTTAGAACTGTATCAGACATTGCAGTTTTGCAGACAAAAGAATCAATCATTCCACAGTGGTTCCCAACATCTGGGCCTACAGGTGTTTTGGACTTCAACTCCCAGAAATCTCAGCCAGTTTACCAGCTGTAAGGAACTGTAGGAACTGAAGTCCAGAACACCTGGAGGCCCAAAGGTTGCGAACCACTGTATACAGAAACACTTTGTGTGAAATAATCCTCATCTGTTTCCAGGACTGTTTGACTTAGATTCTAATCCAGATTTCCTAGGAAAGCAAGCATGTGTGGGTACATTTTATGATCCATTAGTTGATAGTTTGCAACTAGATATGCAGACCAAGTCAACCAAAATTATCTGGATCTTACTCTAACATTTACTCCAAACTAAAAGTTACCTGTTGAGGATGCTTTAGCCCCTGCATTTAGAAGGGGTTGGACTGAATTACTCCTTTCAACCTAAGAGCCTATGATTTTAATCCAAATGTTGATTATATGTAAATTAATGGGTAAAACAGAATTTTTATCAGTCCACCCCATTTATTTATCTGTGCTCACAAAAATAGAAATGAGTTCCAGGTCTACAGAAGCATAATTTCATATGGCCCTGAAAAAATAGCATGCTGAAATTGTCAAGGTTTATGTATACAATACTATCAACTGCCCGGCTATGGAATGGAGAAGCAACACCTACAAACAAAGCCACAACTACACAATGTTTTTTGCATAAAATCTGCTTTTTGCCTTTGGCCTGTTGAATGGTTGACAAGGATTTGTTTTATTACCTGGGTTCCTGTTTTTGTATTATTTTGTGCCATTTGCTGATGATGATTATTATTATTGTTGTTGTTATTATTATTCATTTTAAACTAATGCATTAAGTTGTTGATATATGCCCTCTTAGATGCTTCTAACTGGGCCAGAAAGGTGGGCCATAAGTCATAAAGAAACAGATGCAGATAAACATATATGTGTGGGATGATACACAGAGAGACATAAAATCCTAAAATGTATTAGAATCAATCTAGTTTACAGCTCTAGTGTAGTATAACAGTTATAAGTAAGTAAGTACAACACAGCATCACAGCAGGAATTTAGCTAAATCCAAATTCTTATTCAGTCATTAAAACGGCTGAGTGATCTTGAGCCAATCGCCTACTACACAGAAATTATGAGAAAAACACTACATACATTCTTTGAGCTCACTGGAAGAAGGGTGGAATAACAATGTAAACTGTAATTCAGCATTAATTAATCCCCTTTGAACTAGAAGGGAGAAATGATTTTTTAAACCCTCTTCATTGTTATTCGAACAGGCAACCATTTATAATGTATATCCTCTTGTTTCAGCTATTAATTTAGAAGACAAAACACTAAAGTGTTCATCAGCTCAACACAATTTCCTGTCTGGTAATGATGACTGGATTGTTTGCTTTGCGGAAATTCCTGTGATGTTACAGTGGTACTTTAAATTTGATAAATGTCAGTCACATATTTTACTGGTACTCTCCATACTTGTCTCTTCCTGCTAACTCTCAACACTGAATCTAAGAAAAGCTACAAAAGAAATGGGTGTTCACTTCTTTGTAGACCAGTCATCACACAGCAGGTACAACTTGGTCATTAAGCCAATGGAGGGTGCGGTAACATTTGTGGGTCGACTTGACGCACACATCCTATGTTTTCAGTCGGAATGATATAGACACAGAAAAATGCATGATTTCTAAAATGCCTGATTTATTGTGCTATCTCTGCTTCTCTGAAAAACAGCTCAAGTGTTTAATAAAGTTCTTCTTGCATTGAAAATCCTACTGTTGACATGTTCCTGTTTCTATTTTGAGATAATCACTAGGAAAGACTGCTTCTTGACCACCAAGAAATGCAGAAGTGTTTCTTTAATTGTAAAGTGGATTTTTTAAAAAAATGCTATCCAAAAAGAGGAGCTATGGAAATTCCATACATATCCAGTTGTTTTTGGATCTTGATTTGTCAAGGACTTAGATTTCAAACCTCACTTATCTCATGGTCACAATATGGGCAAGGAATTATCTCCAGCGATAGTTCCTCAACAATAAGAGTAAATATTTAAATAAAGCTATCATACTCTACCTTAAGTTTATTTTCTCCAAGCTAGACATATTCAGCAATCTAAGCTGCTCCTCATAGTTTTCAGACTTTTAACCATTTTACTTTACCTGCTCCTCTTCTTTAAATGCCTAAACTGTATGGCTAAAGCTGAAGTTTTAAGTTTTGGTTATAATTAACTGCTATTGTTTTAACTCTGTATGTATTTATGGTTTTATACTGTGTTATTGATTGTGGCATCGAATTGCTGCCTTTGTTAGCCACTCTGAGTCCCCCCTCGGGGGTTGAGAAGGGCGGGGTAAAAATGCTGTTAATAATAAATAAATAACTTATAGAAATGCTAGATGTTTGGGAACTGAGGGGAAATTATCAGAATTTTATTGGAGGTAGCAATAGCAATGCTTTCATTTTGCCACCCCAACCCATGGCTATAATCCTGATAGTCCTTATAGACAATTCACTAAAAGGAGTCCCAAAATCTATATCAACAGATTTTAGCAAAGTTTACTTCCAGAACAGTACATCTTTGAAAAACTGTGGGGTCTTAATTGTCTGTTCAAGCTTCAACAACTTCAAAATTAGCTTTCCAACTGTGATAGTATTTTGCTAAAAAAATTGCTAAAAATTTTGCTAAAAATCAAGGGGAGTAGAGTTACAGTGGCATCACTCCTCATAAATCAATGCTCAAAACAAAACACAATCACATGGCAACCCGCTATTGTGCCACTTCAGAGAAAAAGTGCCTCTCTCTGGGCACAAACCTCAGTGGTTTCAGTATTAGGTATATGTAATCTCTCTGCCATGCAAATGGAGAAACTACCATGAAAAACTAATAATGGGGCATGTCCTGAAGAATGAGCTCCCTCATGGGGTTATTTAACACAGTGAATATTTGAAAGAAAATTGCAAGTAAAAAGCTGGCAAAGCAAGCAATAAAAATGTTTTCTTCTTACTCTATTTTAGTCCCCTTTTCACAAGCCTTCATTCAGGACTGATGAAATACTATAAAATATAAATTGTCCATATGGACATGTTGAAAAGGGGGGGGGGGGATCTGTGCCTGCTACACATTTGGTTTATTTCCAAACCACATTTATATTTAGGGGGCGAAACATGTGTAACACTCTCAGAAACTGTTAACAGATCTGACATACAGTTTCAGTATTAAGTCCAGGCTTTATGGCACATTGAGCACAAGCTTTGAAATGAATCATTCTTGCAGCACTATGCAAACGGAGCTCAAGGATTTGTGGTATGGTGAGAAAAGGACATTCAAAGGCAACTTCCTTGGGCTGAGTTCCTGGAATGCAGAAACTACAAGAATGTTTGGGTGGGAAAAAGCTGTCACTCAAAAGCATTCATCAGTTTTGGTTCTGCCTTGCCCTACCTAGAAAAAAAATATCAAAACTGAGGTTAGCCTTATTGAACTTTGGGAGGAGGAAAGAAAGGAATGCATACCAATTTATAAACTATTTTGCGTTCTTCTTTTTGTAGATCAGTATAAATGTATGAACAATTGTTTAAAGAATGAGAACAATGTGTGTGATCAGAATGAATAGTTACAGTCTACTAATATTCTTCTAAAAGCTTGGTAATCACTGCATTTTTATAGACCGCAATCCTCTGCATGCTTATTTAGTGAACATGCTTGAAGAGCAAATTACAAATGTAAGGAAAGTAAAACCTAAACCACATGATATCTTCACTTGAAGGTTTTGCTTGGCTTCTACAAATCTCCTCAGTGGGCATACGATGGGAGCACCAGGACTCTAAGATCGGTTGGTCCCCAAATCAGGACATCAATTCAATAATGGGTTAAACATTAATTTAAAAGCTGCCTTGGGATCCAAATTGGGAGAAAGTGGAATAGAAATGTAAATAAGTAAATGTTCTTTTAAAGGATTAACAGCATAATGATTAGTGAGTTCTTATTGAGACAGATGTTAACACCCTAATGAAATGTTACTCTTTCTTAAGAAATTTTTAATTTCTATATCTGTCATTCTTCTTAAGCTTACTTAGGGTAAAGTACTAATCCTGGCCAAGGATTCAGGCTCCCCCCAGGGTGAGGGGCTGTCAAGACAGCTGGGCCAGATCCTAACCAGGAGCAACTGTCTTGACTGCCATCTCGTGTTCCCCAAGATGAGTTCCCCTGTTGTTGTCATCCTGTTCAGCCTGCCCTCCACCTTGTTGCAGCTGTCCCAAGCTATGTCAGACAACCACAAGACAGAGGTGGGGACATGGGAGGTTTGGGGAGTCCGAACACTAGATCCAGGATGCTAGATCAGCTCCACATTACTGGTCAGTATAGCAGGCCCCCTGTCATCTGTTTCCAGACTGACCCATGGATAAACTGACAAAGGCCTAAATTTTTAGACCAAAGCATTCTGACTTATAGTCAAATATATACATGGCAAACATTTTGTTTATATTGCTTTTTGAAGTTGAATATTTTTGTTTATAATTAATTTGCCTTTGTTATTACATTTGGTAAAACTTTGTTTTTTGTCCAAATGATATCTCTGGGCTAACAAAGTGTGTGTGTGTGAGAGAGATTTTTACAGCACAACAGCCAATCACAGGTCCTTCAGGTCAATGCACATTTTGTGCACTTGGAAATTATCAGTGCATGTAAAATGATACTGGCTGACCATCCAGAATTCCAAAATCCAAAACTGTCTATATGGTTGGCAAAAATAATGACATTTTTGCTTTCTGGTGGTTTGATGTAGGCAATCTTTGTTCAATGACCAAAATAATTTAATATACTGTATAAAACTGTCTTATGGCTGTGTGTATAAATATATAAAAGAGATATAAATTGATGTTTAAACTTATTCCCCTCTCCAAGACATCTACATAAATAAAAGTATTCCAAAATACAAAACATTTCTGGTCCCAAATATTTCAGGTAACGGATACAAAACCTGTATTTATTTATATTTATTCATTTACTTCACTTTTATACCACTTTTCTCACCCCAGCGGGAGACTCAAAGCAGTTTCCAACATAATTGTAGCAAAATTTAATGCCTCACATACAGAAACGTAACATAACGTTAATAACATACAATTATCAATTAAACCATAAAACACAACATCATTTATCAGCATAATTGCTGTGAAAATGAGAAACACATCTGGAAATAATTTAAGTAACAAATGTTAGAAACCAACAGCTGTTCTTAGACAGACTTCTTTTCCTTTCACACTGTATAATACTCATCAACATATCCCACGGTATCTAAGTCCAAAGTCTAAGGAGTTATTCTCCAAGTATGAGAAGTTCATGAATGTTATGGACAATGCACAATGCCTCAGTGTTGCTCTCTGCTTTCCTGGGCATAATCCATACAGCACATTTTCCCTTTTGGCTCACATATCACAGCAGGCATCACAAGTAGCTTTGTCTACTTGCTGTGCCTCAGTTTGTATTGGTTGTACACTACCTATCACCTGCCTGAACAAAGGAAACTTACTTGGAGGAAACCGGAAGTCCACTTGAGTCAAAGAGTTTTAGAAATGCCCAGCCACAGCTTAATTCTCCTTTCTCACCTGTTGACTAGAAAAGTAACACTTATGATACAGGCTGTTCAAATGGAAAATGATTAGGCACAATCCATCAGTCAGGTCCCACATAGCTATGCATTATGTGTAGCTGAAGCAGGAATGGCTATGGAACTTCTTCCTTCCTCTCAACTTCCAACTCAGGACTCACCTAGTATCACTAAAACCTAGGTGGGTCAACAAATAGATATACGGTAGCTATACCCTGTTGCTCCCCAGATGTTCTCTGACCACTAAACATGCTGGCTGAAGACAAAGGAACTTGCAGTCAAAACTACTGAGAGGGACAGCAGTCGATCTCACAGTGGGCTATAATCATGACTATACTGAAAAATAGTCTCACTTTGTATTTTCCCCTAGTGCATCCCACAGCAGTAGCCATTTCCACAGGTCTGGGGGCCAAATTTTAGCCTCATGACTCAGCCAAGCAAAGCATCATTATCCCCAAACTACTCCAGAAAAATGTATATGGCCACTTCCCATTTTGTAAAAAAAAAAACAACAACAACAAAGCACAGTTGTCCTCCTGTCCCTGATACAAAGTAAAGTGTGTGGAAGCTTTGTTTTAAGTTGGGAAGTAGCTGTGAAGGATGCCCATTGCCCCTCAGGCACTTTGGGGATTCACATCTCTGAAAAAAGCACCGAAAATGAATTTGCCCCCAAATCTTCAACAATGCCTCTGAGGGGACAAGAGGACTAATCTTATGACAATATTGTCTCCCATATTCCTAAGGACAGTATGGTGGATGCAGGAACACAAAAATTGGCATCTGTTAGCCAAAAACCAATCCTTAGGATCACATGTGGCCTATAAGTAGCATTTTCCCCTATGCTTGTTTTAAGGCAAAATCACAACTCTCTGAATCTTGCAGGAGTAAAACAGCATTTGCAGCCAAAAGGCCACAGAATTCCTACCACATCCTAGGGTTATGCTGAAAGTTAAAGAGTGAAACAACATTAATCCACTGATATTTCAGAACCTCCAAAACAGGTAAATAAAACATTTGATTAGCTTCATCAACATTTTCATTTTGACATTAGCAAGTAATATTGATTTGTTATTTTTGTACTGCTGTCCAATTCATAGCAATCTTATCATAGATTTCCTTGACCAATTTTTAGTGTTTTCTGTTTAGGTTGAGAGTGTGTGATTTGCCCAAGGTCACAAAGTGTGTTCCTGTAGACTACTGTGCATTTGAACTCTAGCTTCAAACCAGTATACCACACTGGTTCCTTTTAATGTACCAGTCCTTATTTATAATGTTTTCAAGTTTCACATGACAGATTTTTAACCAACTTATACTTGAGAATCAGGCTGCTGGATCCTTCCATGGGAGAGTAGCAAAGAAACATTTAAACTATGCCAGTTCAAAAGGAAGATTTGCAATCTGTTGACACTTCTGTCTGGTGTTTTATGACACATCAATATAAAGAGGCCATTTTCTAATAGTTTCCTACTGTAAGTTAACTCTTTCAACTTACATTGCGAATATAAGTAATCCCAAGTTCAAAAAGTATGCCAATGTCTAGAGACGATGAATTGGATCTAATAAAGCAATCACCATCAAGCAAGCATGGTAAGATGCCAGTGACCTGTAAAACAGGGAGAAAACAAAAATCTTGAGCATTTAATTTCAAAAGTCTTTCTAAGAAGGTTGAAAGAACACTTGTATTGCTCTTCCAATTGTTTCAAAGGACACTGAATCCAATCATAAACATTAGCACTTTCCATACCATCCAGCTGGGTGTACAGGTTTCCTCAGACTGGTCAGAATTTGGTGGAAATTGTAGCTGTATTTTCAAACATCCATGCAACCTACTTCCTGACCCCTTTTTAAATTGGTCCTGAGAGTTTCTGATACATAATGAAATAATAATAACAATAACAATAATTTATTTGTATTCTGCCCTCTCTCCCCAAGGGAACTCAGAAAACTGTCTGTATTCACTGTTACATTTTCCCTGCTAAACTTGAAGGGTGGGGGCAGGGAGGGAAGAAACAACCATTTCCTCATAACATCTTTAGCTACCAGTGTCATCTTCCTCTACTTTTTTAGAATTATAGTGCTAAACTGGTATGGTCTTATATCACAAATAAATTATTGACAGTACATATTTTTTCCCCAAAATAAAAAACAAAATTAGAAATAACATCCAATATGGGGAACACAGACACTGGAGGAAGAGCATATAAATAAATCTATATAAATAAAAATATAATGTTCGTTTGTGGGACTAACATAACTCAAAAACCACTGGATGAATTGACACCAAATTTGGGCACAATACACGTATCAGGCTAATGAGTGACCATCGCTCATAAAAACACTGAAAAACACAGCAGAAGAGACCTAAAAAGCAAAAAAAAATGCATTACAACGCATGCACAAAACTATATATATACGCAAATACACATATATACAAATATATGCACACACACACAGAGCACATATACACAGACTGGGCCACAGCAACGTGTGGAAGGGGACGGCTAGTAAATAAATAAATTTATATTCCGCCATATCTCCCCGAGGGGACTCAGGGCGGATTATATATGGGGGATATGGATTTCATGGAAGAAATGGCAGGGACAGAGTGAAACTATATCCAATGCCACTACTTAAATTACGAAAAGCTACCAACAAGCAAGGGTCAAACCCTGATATATGTACACCATGACTGGACATGGAAGCAGTAAGAGCTACAAAGCATTGCAACATATTAAATTCTGAAACAGAATGCCCCAACGTATATCGCAACTGTTGAGCACTCTGGAGGAGTTCTGAGAATGTTAATTCCCAAAGCGCTCTGCAAACAACACAACTGGGAGGGTACTGGATATTTTTCCCCACAAAGAGATATGGTTGGATTGAGACTTGTTCTTCCATAAACGAAAGGACTCCTCCTGTTTGTGAAAGAGATTCAGATCCAACACGGACTTTGTTGCAAGGAGGGAGGGGAGTTTTCACCAAAAAAAAAAACAAAACAAAACAAAAAAACAGACAGCTCCACCTCCCACTATGCTGAGAATGTGTCTGACTCTCCAGATTTTATTTTTTTAAGGAAAGGGTTGCTACTAATCACTTCCTCTCCCACCTATTTCCTCTAGTGAAGTACAGGAACTTTCCACTAGTGAAGTGCTACACATATCGGTATTCCTTAACCCATGAGCACTAGCCATCAAAGTTGAGCTAACCAATAATATAGGAGTCAGTATCTCTTCAGCTCTAAACACACATTCTGAGAAAAGAAGAGGAGGGCTATTTATTTATTTATTTATTTACAATATTTCTATTCTACTTTGAATAGAAATAGTCAACTCAAGGTGACTTACAAATTGGCAGCAATTTGATACCATAACAATCCACAATATATGATTAAAACTTTTTTAAAAGTATTATAAAATCAATATAAAATCAATACAATACAAAAACCATTAAATCATATAATAACCAATACGATAAGAGCATATGACTCCTACAAAAATGTGGAGTTCTTCTCCCAAATCATCATTATTATCCTCATCATCATCAAGGCATCTTATAACAAATTACTAAAACATTCACAAAATATAATAATAATAATAATAATAATAATAATAATAATAATACTTTATTTGTATCCCGCTACCATCTCCCCAAGGGACTCGGTGCGGCTTACATGAGGCCGAGGCCGAATACAAGCAAAACAACAACAGTACAAGCAATTAAAATAAAAACATAGACAATAAAATATACAACATTATCAATAAGACAACACACAATTAAAAACAGAGGGAAGGCCAAATGTAAAGTTAAAATGGAAATAATGCTGGGACATGGACGAAAGGTGATAGTGGCATTTGTGGAAGGGCATACGAAAACATATAGGAATATGAAAATCAAAATTACCTAGAACAAAAAATAAGTAGTCTTTGTTAAAAGTTAACATAGTTGATTACTTGATTTACTTATGAACTTCATGTATTTAGCATACAACTACATTGCTTATTGGTTTCATGTTAACTAAATTATACTTAAAACTACTATACTGTACTATTGAGGGAGGCTTCTGATGTAAACAGACCCATACTCTAACTGTACTGTAATGTACTATACTTCTGATTCATACTCTAACTATACTATAAGGTACTACTGATGCAAACAGACTCATACTCTAACTGTAATATAATGTAGTATACTTCTGCTGCAAACAAACTCATATCAACTGACATCTCACTGCAGAATACTGACTATACTCCTGCTCTAACTGACACCTACCGACTCAACTGACCTCTAACTCAAACTGACTCAAGCCTCAACTGACTCTGACTTCCGATTCAAATGCATTCTAAAATGGAGTCTCACTTTGAACATTCTAAGATCAGAGTCACATGGTCTGTAGCCCCCCCCACAACCTCTAACAACATAGAGTTAAGGAAAAAACTACATACCAATATATACATACAATATAGTGAGCAATCTCAATTAGTTACATAACAAATAGCTAGTAAAGGAGACTTATAGAAGGCTGCTAATTCCAGCACTATAAAATAACAAGCAGACATTAGTATGCGGAAATGGAAATAGTTGGTGCTAACCAGTCATATCTTGCATTTAATAGTAATAATAATAATAATAATCATCATCATCATCATCATCATCATCTTTATTTATACCCTGCCACCATCTCCCCAAAGGGGACTCAGGGCGGTTTACATGAGGCCAAGCCCAGAAATACATTACAGCAAAATACAAAAAATAAACCAAAACAACAGAACTAACATCACAATAAGAAAGATAAAACACGAGAATACAATAGAACAAAACAAAATAAAACAGGACAAGATAATGCAATGAGAAATCAATCAATCACAATGAGCGGGCCACATGTACAACATAAAATGATAAAACTCTGGATGAGAGAAGAAAAAGAAATGATTGTGAGGGAATAAACTCATAGGAGACGGAGTAGTGAAGACAGTCTTTCATACAGATGGAGGGAGGTTTCACTACTTTCTTCAGAATCGTATCACTGGTTGACTAGACTAAGAGGAGTATTTACAATTATATAACGGACTTATGTTACTATAAGTTATAGGAATGAAGAGATAGAATTTTATGTACATACAAATCCATATCAGTCATTAAAAAAATAGCCAAGTTATTAAAGTTTTAAGTGGTTTTTGGAAAAGTCAGATATAATTTTAACACAAGGGAAAATCTGCATTTAAGATATCCTGCATGGCAGGAGGTTGGACTAGATGTCCATGTGGTCTCTTCCAACTCTATTATTCTATGATGGATGTTTTAATAATTGATGTTTTAACTGCTTGTTTTTAACTGTAATTGTTTACTTATAATTTATGTGATGGCATCTAATGTTTACCTGTTGTGAAGCTGCCCTAAGCCCCCCTCCGGGGGTGAAAAAGATGGGATACAAATATGTTAAATAAATAAATAAATACAATTCTATTATTTAAAGCAACTCTGCATAAAGGAAATTGTAATTGCATGGCTCCTTACAGCTTCTACAACACTTCTTCAGATAAAGTGATGCCATCTACTGAAGAATTTGTGATATTTCATCCTACGTAAATCTCTCATTTTCTCTTTCTCTCTAGGACATAACTTAAAAACCAATTTTCCTTTAAAATATATTTAATCCAAGTCTCAGAGGAAGGCATGAATTCAACTGAAATGCAGTACTATACAAGGAAATCAGTTTCCTTAATAGATTTTATGATCTCAGCTTTTGTTCGCTTTAAGAATTTGTATAATATCTCACAGCACACACAGGGCACAATTTCTAGGGCTTTCTTTCTGGAACAAAGAAGAAATAATTTTGTTAACTATTACAGGAAACATATCTGGGCTAGATGGGCCTTTATCTTGATTCAGCAAGTTTTCTCCTTATATGTTCTTAAATTTTACCTTATTAGATCTCTCCATTACTAACCACTTACCCTTGGAGAAAAAGTCCATGTTTTTGGATTTTTAGGTTGCCATGTAGCTCTAACGGTATGAATGTTACTCAGGATCTAAAGTGATATAAGAAGGAACGTGGAAACATTAAAAACATAATCCAAATTACTTTATTCAGTGCTTAAGTCACTGAAGCAACCAAGATAAATAAGAAAGAATCCCAACTATTTCACTGTATTCATATGCATTTGTCTAAGAGACCAGCCATCACCTTCTTTCGTGAATAAATATGGATGTCAGGCAATTCTAAGTGGCCATTTCAATTCATTTTGCAACAGAGCTGTATGCATAGCACCATCTTCCAAATGAATAGATATACATTCCAATGTAGGGTAACATTCGATCCTCTTTTAACACAAGAAGGGAAGAAGGTGGACTTACTTCTTTGTTAATTAATATTTCACTCTTGTGTTCACAGCTAACACTGTTTAATTCATAATGCAGAAAGGGGAAAAAGGAAGGTAAAGGAATTTGGAATGTCTACATCTCAACTATAATGGTCTAAAAAGGAATCATATTGTTTCCTCTATTACAAGAGATTCACTAGATACTGGATTAGTTCAGGACACAATTCAAGATGCACGTTCTGACTATGACGCCCCATAAGGCCTGGATCCACATGACCCAAAAGATCATGTGTCCTCCTTTAGCATGCCTAAACGTACAGATTCTCACAGAAAATCTTTCTCTTGGTCTCACAGGGATATTTGGGGGATCATGTGAAGGCCCTCTCAATTGTTGCTTCCAAATTATGTAACCCCCTTCAAAGGTTTTTATCACCAGTTGCATTACAATCTGCCAGTATGTTGATGGTACAAAATGTACTCCATCACACCGGGAAGGCACCAGGTTGGGGGAAGTCTGCCCCACAGGTGCAAAGGTATATATTCTTACCTCGTCTTCAAAAAGGGAGGAGCTTTCTTAAAATGATATTTAATGCTGGTGCTTGCATTCAGAAATAGTATAATAAAATAATGAGATATATAGTTTTATTTGCTCACATTTTGGTGGATATCCCTAAATCACACAGATAATGTGTAAACCAGGCATGGGCAAACCCAGGTTCGGGCGTCAGATGCTGCCCCTTGGGCTTTTTTTCTCGGGCCATCCTCTCTCTCGCCATCCTATTCTTCCTTCCTTCTCTCTTTCCTTCCTCCTTCCATCCTTCCCTCCCTCTTTCTCTCGCCCTCCTTCCTTCCCTTCGACCTTTTTGTCTTTCCTTTCTCCCCTCATTCCTCCCTCCATCCCCTCCCTCTTTCTCTTCCAGCCTTCATTTCTTCTATCCTTCTCTTCCTCCCTTCCTTCCTTCCTTCTCTTTTTCCTTTTTCCTCCTGGGGGATGTTTAGCTGGGAGGAGAGAAGGTAGAGAAGAAACATGAGAACAATGTTTCAAGATTTAAAAGGATGTTGCATTGAGGAGGAAGGTGAAAACTGATTTTCTGCTGCTCTAGAGACCAGTGCAAAAGGAAGGAATGGTTTCAAATGGCAGGGAAAGAGATTTGACTGAAAAGATTAGGAAGAACTTCCTGGAGAGTGGCATAGGCTGCCTCGGAGTGTGGTGGAGTCTCCTACTCTGGAGGCTTTTCCACAAAGGCTAACAGGCATGCTTTGATTGTGCCTTCTTGCATGGCAGGGGGTTGGAATGGATGGCCCTTAGAGGTCACTTCCAGGTCTAAGATTCTATATCAGAAGTAGGCAATACGGCATCTAATGTATGCACTTTTTCTCTCCCATCCTCCATCTCATCCTGACCAAGGTCAACCCTTTTGGGATCCAAACATTTCCCGGCTTTCTTTCACTTTCTGCCTCTGAAAGAAAAGAGGATGGGAAGGAAAGGGCAAGGAGGGCACTTGGGGAGAACCTCCCCTCCCTCCCGGCCTGCCCATTCTGCTCTGGCCCGCCCACCTCACTCCAGCCCACCATGCAGTCCCCAAGTTAGAAAGTTTGCCCATGCATGGTGTAAAATCATCTCAAAATACAAGATGACAGCTGAGTAAGCACATATATTCTATGTCATAAACTTGATTGAAAAGCAGGGAGAAATCCAAATTTTAACACCTCAAGTTGACTGACCTGTAATACTTACTCTGTTACCATCAAAAAGGCAGAGTCGAACATGTCTGCTGAGGACCTGTATGCTCAGTCCAGGAAACGGAATCGCTTTACAGTTCCATAGAGTCACAACTAGCGCTATCCGAGTTGGCCTTGACTGAATCTGAAAGACAGGCAAAATGGCAATGAGATATTAATGGTGCAGTGCTCTTCCTGCTTACTTGAAAATTCAATGGATTTTTGTTTTTAGAAAGGGTCTTAGAAGTATGGTTTTAGCTTATACTAGAAATGTAAAAGCAGCAAGTAAGTTTTAACTTAGTGGCTCCTTCTGTTATGTATAAGATGCTAACGAAGGAGCTACCAAACTGCTTTCATCTATAATGAAGAAACGGCAGTCACCAAGTGACAAATGCACATGCCTGAGCTCACTGTTTTGCACAGATGTCTGGTTCCTAGGAGACTTCTACTACTTTGATGTGATTTTCCAAGCACTAATTAGAGAACTGCCATATCATAACTGAACCATATTTCTGTGTATTATTTCCAAGGGACAGAAAATATGCTTCCCATGGGTTATATCAATTTTAATTTCCAAATTTCTACTGAAACATAACGCAGATAACCTACAGAAAAACAAAAATATCTTAGATTTTCTTTCTGCTATCTTTTTCAACCCAAACCCATCAAATCTAACATTTTTTCTCAACTTATATTACCCTGAAGATATCAATAACTAAGAACAAATACTTACAGTGCCTTTTTCTGAATTCCACACTAAATCACGAAAAGAAAGACCGGAAGATGTGAGCTCAGGTTGCAGGAAATAAGAAGCTCTAAACTGAATTCCTAAAAAAAAAACGTGCTATTTTTAAAGTGGTTTTGTTCCTCGTCCAGTTATTTTCAGCGTGTTGTGTAAAAGTTATACATTTAAAGATTGCAACAAAAGCTAAACTATAATTCATATCCCAGTTTTAAATGTAGTTTTATCCACTTCAGAGAAACATGGGGCCACATGCCGAGAAGGACATTTCATCCTCGGCTCCTGCACAGCCAGATGCAGTAACCGAGGATGAAACATTTGCTGTAGTATAGCGTAGACACTCTGTGCCGGAGGTCTGCAGGCCAAAATAACAAAACTCCGGCACAAAGCTTCCGGGTTAGACCGTTAGGGGATCTTTGACCTCACTTCCAGTCGGCGGAGCAGGGAGCAGCAGAATGCCACAGGAGACACATATCTGGGGGCCCTGTGATAGCCATTACCAGCAACCACATAACCACAGCAACCATCATCCAATATATTGTTCAATTGAAGATTTAGCCAATGAAATTCAGTAACAAAAAAGTCACTAACAGGCAGGTTAGTTAAAGAATTCCCCCTCCTCCTCACTTATCTTAGTTCACGACACCTCACACAAGTTAAATAATATCAAGTCCAACAAAAGAAGCCGACTGACAGATGAAAAAAGAAATCACTAAGCAGGTAACTTAGTTTTTGGTTTATTAAATACAGTTATATATTATAATTATGCATAGTTGTTATTCAAACTATAAATATTGCGAAATTGTTTTGTTTTTTTTCTCGAAGTGACACCCCACCTGAGTTATGCTCGGTTTTTTGGTGAATATTGACATACCAAGCTCAAAAGGTTGCCCATCACTGACCTGGGATCACAGATCACATAACAGCAAACCCGATTTTGGCATTATTTGTATATTTGATAGGAAGAAAGCAATAATTCCAATTCTCTTACAAGTACACTTACATGAAATGTACTTGCTAGTGTTTTTTTTATCACATGCATACTTGACACATGTATGTGTTCATTTTTTTAAATCTCTTATTTTGAAGAAAAGAAGGTATTGTAGAATCTGTCAAAAGGATTCTGCCACAGTTGCTCTCCCTAACCTAAAAACTAATAGATGCAATAGTAAAATACTTATTTAAATCCACAAATGTAATAGCAGGAATTACATTCAGTAATTAGAGTTCTATCATCTCTTAATCAATATCTATATCGGTTTAGGAGAATCTTTTTGACAGATTTAATGAACCAGCATTACAGAATTCCCACCTATATTGTCAAGTATCTTGGTCCCATGGTGAGAAAAAGAGGATATGAAGTGAATTAACACAATATAATTAATTGACCAATGAATTAATACCTTCTTCCAAGAGTTGTGCAAGTGTTGAAGGCCGAAATCCTGCAGGAACTGCTCCCATAGTTGTCAGTGCATCTAAGGTATTATTCTATTCAATCAGAAAAGAGAGATGTCACCTCTCAGTATCTGCTAACAATTCAGCTTTGTCATCATAATAGTCTCAAAATTTTAAAGCAAGTCATGTATTAAAAAACAAAGATTCTGTAGAGTTCTGCCAATGCATTTCACTCATACTTTAAAAATCAGGGAACACAGTAGGTTATTTATGCTGAGTAGAACATCACATAACATCCCTAGGGATATTAAATCGCCCCCTCCCTCTTGACCTTCAGAAAAAGAATAAAAACTTGGCTTTTTGAACAAGCGTTTGGAAATGCAGCAGCATAAAGAATTATGAAATAGGAAGAAGGAACGCGGAATAGCTAGACAATGCTACTAGATAATGATTTTAACAGGACAACACTGGTGATGATATGGTTTTAATGGTTTTATATGTTTTTTATAATATTAGGTTGAATGTTTTCAACTGTACTTTTTTGAATGTATGGCATCAAATTCTGCCAATTCTGTAAGGCACCTTGAGTCGCCGTAAGGCTGAGAAAAGCAGGCTACAAATCCAGTAAATAAATAAATAAATAAATATTTTCTGAGTTGTTTTCCAGCTATAACACAGTAACCATTCCCAGATAGCCTGTTTTGACAAATGCAATCACAAGATGAATGAACCCATTATGCCTGTTTCATGTTGTAAGCAAAACCTAGCAATCAACCAAAAAAGGTTCTATCCTAAAATTATTATTTGTGTATATGTGTGAGTTTATATATTTCATGCACATACACACATACTCATACACATTCATCTATACTGTGTTAAAAGGGTGTGTATATATACATATATGTTATCATTTTTACCTCTGTGATAGCCTTTTTAACTGCACTCCAGTGCGAGTCTGTCCTGAAAGAAATATGAAAGAAAGGAGATGATAAAAATAATCCAAACCCCCAAATTAATTTTCTGCATAAATACAAGGATGGGGCAACTGGCATTCAATATGCAGGTCAGCTGCTGAAATTATGAACTGTATTAAGTCCCAAATAGGGAACTTCCCTTAGTCTGTAGTCTGATCAACCAGCAAATGAGATTAAGTTCTTTATATACTTTCATTTCATGGCAGCCTTACAGTATAATCTGATGCATGTTGACTCAGATATAAGTTTTATTGGGTTTAACAAAAGTGATTCTGTGGTTAATGTACTATTAGTTTTCTAACTCATAGAATCATCGAATCAACTCCATGCCCAATTTTCACTAACACAGGTATTCATATTGTTGTTGTTATTTGCCATTGACTTCAATTTTGGCAACCCTATGATTAAGAGATCTCCAAGAAGCATCAACACTTGCATATAGAGCAACTGGGCACAGAGGGAACCCCAAGAGGCATGTCTGCAATCCTGTTTTCACCTTCATTTCCTAGATCTATGTAACTCAAGATGTTTTTGCTTCCTGCCTGCATATAGAGGTCACTTCCAAAGAGTCTTTAGTGTTTCATTACCCCTTGTTTGAGAGGATGGCATCATGAAGCCTCTCACTTCACCTCAAGATCAGTATTAGGGACTTTTTTTACCAAAGTTAGGTAACTTTCCTTTGTCTGTGTAATTTATCCAAAATATGCTACCAGCAATAGTAAAAGGGTTTTTTAAACTTCACCAGAGTATCCTGCGCAGTTTATCTTCTTTTTTTCCTACTGGAAGCTTGTATATAGCACTAGCAATACTGCACTCTACTCTGCTATGAATACCTAATATTCCTACAGATCTCCAAGTCTGGCCACTGGCACTATGTCCTGATCCAGACCAACAATTCTATTTCCTCTGCAACCTCCACACTGTGTTCTCCCTCCTGCGCACAAGTGGTGGCTCCAGGCAGCAACACCTCTATACTATTGGAACACTGCTGAAAATGTATACTTTTTGAAACAAAAATTAAAAAAACCACCCAGAAGGATATGGTTTTAAGGATGTATATGTAAGGGGAGCCCATATTTATTTATTCTTTGATGTACCCCTCAAAGGGCTCCCTGGTGGAGCAGCAGGTTAAACCGTTGAGATGCTGACTTGCTGACCAAAAGACTGGCAGTCTGATTCTAGGGAGTGGGGTGAGCTCCCACTGTTAGCCTCAGCTTCTCCCAACCTAGCAGTTTGAAAACATGCAAATGTGAGTAGATCAATAGATACAATTGCGACAGGAAGGTAACGGCGCTCCATGCAGTCATGCTGGCCACATGACTTTGGAGGTATCTACAGACAACGCCAGCTCTTCGGCTTAGAAATGAAGATGGGCACCTCTCATCTTCATTTCTAAGAGTGAGACATGACTAGACTTAATGTCAGGGGAAACCTTTACCTTTACTTACTACCACCCAAAATGAGTAGAGTTCCAAAAAAATTGATAAGCTCACAAGATAAGAATGCCACAAACAAGCTGGCAATGAACTTTAATGATAACAATCCTTACCTTTTCATAATTGTGGCTCCTCCTGCTGTCTCATCTGTTACTTCTATATCTTCTTCCATTTCCCCTTCACTTTCTTCTTCAACTTCTGTGACATTTACCTAACAAGTAATCATACTTCAATAATCACATTATAGCCTCTTTTTTACAATGGAATGATAAGCTCTATTACACGTTTAGTGGCTAAGTGCAAGTGGCAGGTTTCAAATAACAATTTCATTGCAGGTATTCTTGTGGTAGAAATTTAAATTGCACTGAACAAATATTTTTTTTCCTATTGCCGATCTCATTTGCAAATTTTCAAGGTCAAGAGATTGCAGGGAAAGAATGACACAAACACGTAGACATTCTTCCTCCAAGAGAGCAATTTTGTTTATAAATGTTCTGGAAGAATTTTATGCAGGCCATAAAAACAATAAAACCTAGGCCCCTGTAAGAAGGGGATCATAGAGACCACTTATTTAACTTTAAAAGTTTTATCAGCATAATTAAAACAATGAGCATAAGGCAGTATCTGTAATATTACTACCCTACCATTATATATGTCAAGACACACCACAGTTGCCAACAAGGATAGCAGCTGGTCTGATAGCTGGTCTGGCCTTCCTCCATGCCAGCTTTTTTCTTTTTTTAAAGGCTCACAGTTACAATTGGACATTTTTTACAGCTCAGAAGAAGACTCAAGTTCATTTCAAGGGCTAGGGAAGAAGAAACCAATATAAAGCCTAGGAGGCCACCAAATTTGCTTTTCTAAAGGAAGGATTATCTTCCTACATTCTTCACAATGGAGCAAATGGCCAACAAAACCAGCAGAAGGAATTCCCAGATTTTTTAATATAAAGACTCTCATGTTTCTTTGTCTATGCAAATGTGTGTGTTTAACCCAAGCCTGGATACCAATTAGGTTTTGAGACCAGCTTGGGTGTAAAATCATAGATATAAATAGATATATGTAGAACCTAACAATGACTAATTTACTCAGTCTGAAATCTCTAGCATGAGACTGGATCAAAATGCAATCCTTACCGTTATATTGAGCCTAATTTGTATGGTTGACTGTTTTTCCTTTCCCAGCTCTACTTTTTTATACCAGCCAGTATAATGAAGCATTCTGAAGACTTTGAAAATTGCTTCCTACTTTGTGACATTTTGGAGAAAGTTATTTTTCATAGATTTTGGAACTTTTTCCTTAAACAAAACTACTTTCATACTTTTCTTTTGCTACTCTTGCTTTTATTTTTAGTTCTGGGTTTTAGAAGAACAATTTAAAATGTTTACAACAGCCCTCCCCAACCTCCCCAATGAATGTAGACAGGAATCCAAGAATAACAAGTTTTAAAAGCAGAAACTATACAGGACAAAAGGAGAAGGATACCAACCGTGAGATAGGTTTTAGGAACAAGTCCTCTCTCTCCTTTAGAATTCTGACCCAGCCACCAACCATCAGGTTTTTTCTCAAGTATGAGGAGAACTTCACCTTTCTTCAATATTGGAAAGAGAAAAGGTAAACAATTGGAATGACATTACATTTTGCAGGTATTGAAGACACTATTTGCAATGTGTATATGTGCCTTTGAATCAACTGTCAAATCATGGCGACCTCGTGAGGGTTTTAAGTAAGGAACATTCAGGCCTCTTCCACACAGCTGTATAAAATCTACATTGAACAGGATTATATGACATTGTGGTCTCAGATAATCCAGTTGAAAGCAGATATTGTGGTTTATCTGCCTTGAAGTCATAGGGAGGGGGGAGCAGGCTTGTTTTTTGCTGCTCTGGAGACTAGAGAGCGGAACAATGGCTTCAAACTACGAGAAAGGAGATTCCACTTAAACATTAGGAAGGACTTCCTAACTGTGAGAGCTGTTCAGCTGTGGAACTCTCTACCCTGGAGTGTGGTGGAGGCTCCTTCTTTGGAGGCTTTTAAACAGAAGCTGGATGGTCATCTGTCGGGGATTTTCCTGCTTCTTGGCAAGGGGTTGGACTGGATGGCCCACGGGGCCTCTTCCAACTCTATTATTCTATGAGTCTATGATATTCTGGGTTATATGGCTATGTGGAAGGGCCTTTAGAGGTGCTTTTGACAACTGCTGTAAGTGCGGGGGAAAGTAACAAAAGAACATCCCTACTTAATGATTTTCTTGGACTGATTTTAGCCATGTTTAAATATTTAAAAGGATGTTGATTGTCTATTCTCACTTAGTAGAATGAAACTGGATTGAGCTGAATGGCCCCTATGGTCTCTTTCAACTCTTATCGAACCCTTCCACGCAGCTGAATAAAATCCCACATTTTCTGCTTTCAACAGGAATATATCGCAGTGTAGACTCAGATAACCCAGTTCATAGCAGATATTGTGGGATTTTCTGCATTGATGTTCTGGGTGATATGGCTGTGTAGAAAGGTCCTATGATTCTAACAATTCTAGCAAAAACCCTATTGCACAAGATGCACATTTGCGTTAAAAACAGTTCCTGCATGCATCAGGAAGACATTAGGGAAGGCTCAGATAACTGAGTTCTGCAACCTCGGTAGCACCTGCACCATAGCAATTTTATGCCACGAAGTGCATCCACATTCTAATCTAAAAATATAATGCTTTACTTGCTTTAAATGTAAGATCCCCTTCTTGCTGAGCTGCAAAATCACCAAGTGTGATAAAATTAACAGCTGAATCATCTCCGTGTTTGTCTTCATCACTGTCATCATCATCTTCCTCACCCTCACCCTCCTCTTCCTCTTCTTCATCATCTTGTGTACTTTCATCCTCATCATCATCATGATCATCATCACCAGCAGTAGCATCTTCAATCTGTTCATTCCCATGCTTGAGCTTTAAGTTGTCTCTCTGTTTCTCATCACTAAGAAAGAAAGAAAGAAAGAAAAACATCATTATTTAACATTTATTTATTTGATGCAGTCAATATCTTAGAAATCCTTTCTCTCCATGGTTCAGGTGAGATGGAACCAGGTGTTGCAATAATTTCCCTATTTCATATTTTGATTGTATTTAGACATCTAAGCCACCCTATCTCTTAAATCAAATCTAAAATACTGTTGGAAACAAAAGATTAACATCACATCAGATTAACACCATGCTCAGAGTAGAGCAAACCTGTAATTGTCCACTTCTGGTTAATGAATTCAATAACCATTTTAAGATTAAGCTCTACACATACTTCATTAGCAATAAACCTCAAATTCGGTGGGATCTACATCTGATTAAATATTGTTAATATACTTACACATTGGAGCCTTTAATAACATTTTCACGACTAAGAATTAAAGCAAGTTTCTCCAGCTGCTGAGAAAGTTTAAGCAACTGTGTTTCTTCCTCTTCTTTTCTCTGATAATAATTTCCCACAGGTGCAGGCTCATCTGACTATGAGATAACAACACAACCAATTATTTAAAACATCCTACGTGCATGAGATCTAAACTCAATTTGATACAGCATATGCTTGTACTATTAAATTTCATGAAAAGTCATGCTAATTACATGAAAATAGATGATTTTCTATACTAAAAAATAACCCTACCCTTTCTATTTGAGATATGCTGAATAGTACTGGAAGAAGCAGCTGTCCTAGATAACTGCATACATTGACTTGAGGACATAAAGCCAGAGGATGATATATTAAACTTAATAAGATAAATGTTAATATTAGGATCCACTTAACAGATATTTCTTTTTAACTTTCTCTTCAATTTTTTTTTTGAACAAAAAAAAATCACTGCATCTAAAACACATACTTTCTTCAGACTTTGAAGAGCAAAGGCATTTTCATCCACAGATCTCTTCAACTCCAAACATCTACAACAAAATCAAAGGTTACAAAATTAAAGGGGTACTTTGAATGCAATTTTCCTGCTTCTTGGCAGGGGGTTGGACTGGATGGCTCACGAGGTCTCTTCCAACTCAAGGATTCTATGATTCTATATTTTATATAAGCAGACACAAAGACAGTTTTCATAGCCAAAATGTTGCTTTGTGCTTAACTTTTATTAGTCCAGCCATACGATTTGCTACTTTGCAGAAACACCACTACAGCTCTCTTGGCTAGGGGATAGCAGTGGAGCATTCTGGCTGTTGGTTTATATGTGCACACATCAGTCCTTCTGGTTTATCAAGTCTTTCTGCACATATGTTGTGACTGAGACCCCTTCCACACAACTGAAGAAAATCCCACATTTTCTGCTTTGAATTGGAATATATGGCAGTGTGGACTCAGACAACCCAGTTCAAAGCAGGTATTGTTGGATTTTCTGCCTTGATATTCTAAGGTATATGGCTGTGTGGAACAGCTCTGAGAAACTCCATAGCACTGTACTGACTGAGAAAACACAGTCAAACGTCCCAACTGCTCCCTCTTCTGGATGATCATAACACAGTTCTAGATTGCAGTGGGCCCACTTGGGAATTACCCTTAATCTTTGTTGCCCAGGCCCTATCTACACTATCATGTAAAATCCAGATTATCTGCTTTGAATTCAATGCCATACAAAAGAAAAATACATAAATAACCATCCCACCCAAAGTCCTCACAGATTCACATTTAAACCAAAAAAAAGACTCAATAATAACACGCAACATTTACAATTCCATAATAATCCATCAATAAAATGGATGAGTCAGACCAGCAAAACATGTTTAAAATTTAAAATTATAAATTATACAATTATCTATGAAATTAACTACTGCCAGCAGCCAGAGTGAGCAGCCCATATAAGATACTAAGCCTTCTCGGTTTTATACGCCTGAGCGCATAAGAAAGTTTTTAGTTGTTTTTTAAAGGAGGTTAAAGAGGGAGCTGTTTCAACCTCTTTAGGAAGGGAGTTCCAGAGGCAGGGGTGATCACAGAGAAGGTCCCCTCTCTCGTTCCCATCAGCTGTGCTTGAGATGGGGTGGGACCGAGAGCAGGGCCTCCTCCACAGATCAAAGAGCCCGGGCAGGTTTGTACAAGGAGATGTGATTTGTTAGATAATCTGGGCCCGAACTGTTTAGGGCTTTAAGGTAATAACCAGCAGTTTGAAAAAACATGGGAAGCATTCACCTCTGTTTATGTACTTCGTCTTTGTTATTGTATAACATCATTGAATGTTTGCCATATATGTGCATTGAACTCCTCCCTGAGTCCCCTCGGGGTGATAGGGTGGAATATAAATAAAGTATAGATAGAGATTTGTCTGTGACATTTCTCCTAGCTACATCACTTGTGCCACCTTACCATACACTTTATTTATTATTTATTTACTATACTTGTATATATGTTTATATCGGCGACTCAAGGAGGTTTTCAGCCACTCAAATTCTGATAACTCAAATGTACCTACTATGTTCAAAAGATTGTTGTTGCCACAGTAAAACGATTTACATCATGACCCCTTAAGGTATATTTGGCAATAACCCTTGCCAAAAACATCCAGAGTAAATGATAGGACCTAGTGAAATGTGGAAAGGACATTTAAAAGGTGTTTCTCCTCTTTACACCACATACAAAGTGACTTAACTCCCCAGAACAAACATTTAGGAATAACTCTCTATACATACAGCCTTGGAGAATATCAAGACACCTCTCCAGTGATATCAGTTTAGCTTCCTCCCTCCTGGTTTTCAGAAATAAAGTAAAAATCTGGCCATGGAACCAGGCATTTGGGGAACAGCACAAGCACTGTGCAATATACATCAACGGAGTAGAAATAAACGAAGCATCTTGGACTATGATTATGGGATTAGGTGCAATGTTTTAGCATTTTTTTAAATCATATTTATATGCTTTGCTTTGATTTTATAGTTCAGTGTGTTGTGTATTTGTATGGTTTTATGTTTCAACTAGCCATCCCCTGCCACACGTTGTTGTGGCCCAATCTGGTGATCTGGAAAATAAAGTAATTAGAAAGTGTTGGTTTCTAATATATGTAATTTCTTTATGCTTATGGGTAAACAGTATTTCTTGCTGCTTCTTTGTCAGTGTTGATGTGGAGATTGTCTGGTTTGCCCACTCTGGAACATGCAACATATAATTGTCCTTCTTTAGGGGTCCCTTTCAAATCTATGATACGATATCTGTGTGTGTGAATCATCTATATCTATGGCTGGATGGCTCTTTGTCAGGAGGGCTTTGATTAAGTTTTCTTGCCCTGGTGAAGGGAGTTGGACTGGATGGCCTTAAGTATGGGTTTCTGTGTGGGAAGTTTGCCCCAGTTGAGGTACAGCATGCTCTTTGATTGTAGGTGAACTATAAATCCCAGTAACTACAACTCCCAAATGTCAAGGTCTATTTCCCCCCAAACTCCATCAGTGTTCATATTTGGGCATATGGAATATTCATGCCAAGTTTGGTCCAGATCCATCATTATTTGAGTCCACAGTGCTCTCCAGATGAACTACAACTCCCAAACTCAAGGTCAATGCCCACCAAACCCTTTTAGTGTTTTCTGTTGGTCTTGGGAGTCCTGTGTGCCAAGTTTTGCTCAATTCCATCAGTGGTGGAGTTCAGAATGCTCTTTGTAAGTAAACTACAAATCCCAGTAACTACAACTTGCAATGACAAAATCAATTTTTTTTAGTGATGGTCACTCCTTAAGTTAGTAGGTGTCTTGTGGCCAAATTTGGTGGCAATTTATTCAGTAGTTTTTGAGTTATGTTAATCCCACAAATGAACATTACATTTTTATTTATATAGATGTGGCATTAAATAATTGCCAAAATTGGAAGCCGCTCTGAGTCCCCTCCAGGATGAGAAAGAGTGGGGCAGAAATACAGTAAATAAATGCCCTTCCACAAACGCCACTATCACCTTTCGTCCATGTCCCAGCATTATTTCAATTTTAACTTTACATTTGGCCTTCCCACTGTTTTTAATTGCGTGTTGTCTTATTGATAATGTTGTATATTTTATTGTCTATGTTTTTATTTTAATTGCTTGTACTGTTGTTGTTTTGCTTGTATTGTTGTATTCGGGCTCGGCCTCATGTAAGCCGCACCGAGTCCCTTGGGGAGATGGTAGCGGGGTACAAATAAATTATTATTATTATTATTATTATTATTATTTATAAATACTGTTCATCAAAGGGTAAGATCGCATTTTCGATTAAACATACCAAACTTGAGGATTCAAAATATATGTCATTATTATTTCCAAAATATTTAGACCTATGTTAATGACAACTTATGACAATACTATATGTTTAATGTGGCTGTGAATAAATAAATCAATAAATAAATACCTCTGGCACAGCCTTCTCCTTTTCTCCGAGTCTTGGGCTCCGGCTTCCTTGCTTTCTTGAAGCAAAGCATTGACCTAAAATATATAGTAAAATATAGATGCATTCAGTCATGCGAAAATAGTTATGTGTATGTAAAACTTAAGAAGTATGAACTCCCAAAAGCATTGGGACCTTGTTTAGAGCCATTACAGATTACTCAACTGAAGGTGTAGCATTTAGTACAGGCCTGGGCCAACTTGGGCCCTCCAGGTGTTTTGGACTTCAACTCCCACAATTCCTAACAGCCTGCGGCTTAGGAATTGTGGGGGTTGAAGTCCAAAACACCTGGAGGGCCCAAGTTGGCCCAGGCCTGTCTGTCTCTTGTGCTGTGAGAAGAGCCGCCATTGCGCCCTTCCTCTTTCTCCTCTCCCTCCTCTTTAGGCGAAAGGAACAAAACAAGCATCCCGCGGGAAGTAACCCGGGTCCAGACCTGCTCCCGGAGCTCTCTGCCCCGGCACAGGGCGCTCTGCAGCGGGCCCGTCCGGCTCCGGCGACTGGCCATTCCGAGGAAGGCCTCCCTCCCTCTGCGAACTCCAGGGAGGAACTAGGCCGCCGCTGGTCGCCAAGGCAACGCATGCTGCGGCGCCCGCTGATGGCGTCATCCGTGCGCGCCCACCAGAAGGAAAAGGAAGAAGAGCAGCTGAATGATAAAGGAGAGTGAATCCCATGTCCCAGCCCAGGAAGGATGTTACCTCCATAGAGGGAGAGGGAGAGGGAAAGGGGGGGGGGGGGGCATAAACTCATGATCTTTTCAAGGAGGAAAGGAAATAAAAGATAACCAAAGACTTGTTGTGTTCTATGTATTGTCGAAGGCTTTCATGGCTGCAATCACTCAGTTCTTGTGGGTTTTTCCGGGCTATAGAGCCATGTTCTAGAGGTATTCTCTCCTGACGTTTCGCCTGCATCTATGGCAAGCATCCTCAGAGGTAGTGAGGTCTGTTGGAAGTAGGAAAATGGGTTTATATATCTGTGGAATGACGGGTGGGGCAAAGGACTATTGTCTGGTGGAGCTACGTGTGCATGTTTCAACTGACCACCCTCATTAGCATTTGAAGGCCTGGCTGAGCCTGGGGGAATCTTTTGTTGAGAGATGTTAAGATGTGCTTGGTTGTTTCCTCTCTGCTGTTTTGCTGTTGTAATTTTAGAGTTTTTTAATACTGGTAGCCAGATTTTGTTCATTTTCATGGTCTCCCCCTTTCTGTTGAAATTGTCCACATGCTTGTGGATTTCAATGGCTTCTCTGTGTTGTCTGACATGGTGGTTGTTAGAGTGGTCCAGCATTTCTGTGTTCTCAAATAATATGCTGTGTCCAGGTTGGTTCATCAGGTGCTCTGCTATGGCTGACTTCTCTGTTGAAGTAGTCTGCAGTGCCTTTCATGTTCCTTGATTCGTGTTTGGGCGCTGCGTTTGGTGGTCCCTATGTAGACTTGTCCACAGCTGCATGGTATACGGTAGACTCCTGCAGAGGTGAGAGGATCCCTCTTGTCTTTTGCTGAACGTAGCATTTGTTGGATTTTCTTGGTGGGTTTGTAGATTGTTTGTATGTTGTGTTTCCTCATCAGCTTCCCTATGCGGTCAGTGGTTCCCTTGATGTATGGCAGGAACACTTTTCCTCTGGTTGGATCTTCATCTTTACTCTCGTGGCTTGTTCTTGGTCTTGCAGCTCTTCTGATGTCTGAGGTGGAGTCTCCATTGGCCTGTAGAGCCCAGTTGAGGTGGTTCAGTTCATCTTGGAGGAGGTGGGGTTCGCAGATTCTTTTTGCACGGTCTGCCAAGGCTTTAATGGTGCTTCTTTTTTGACTTGGGTGATGGTTGGAGTTTTTATGTAGGTATCTATCTGTGTGTGTGGGTTTTCTGTAAACGGTGTGACCCAATTGTTGATCTGGTTTACGGATGACTAGGACATCTAGAAAAGGCAGTCTTCCTTCCTTTTCTTTTTCCATGGTGAACTGGATGTTTGGGTGGATGCTGTTAAGATGGTCCAGGAACCTGTTAGTTCTTCTTCTCCATGGCTCCAAATGGTGAAGGTGTCATCCACATATCTGAACCATATAGTGGGCTTTTTGGTTGCTGTTGTGTTCTGTTGGTGGCTCTTTCATTCATTCCTCCCTTTCCTTCATACTCCTTGGGCCTTTCCACACACAGCCATATAACCCAGAATGTCAAGGCAGAAAATCCCACAATATCTGCTTTGAACTGGAATATCTGAGGGCCCTTCCACAGAGCCCTATATCCCAGAATATCATGGCAGAAAATCCTACATTTTTTATTTATTTATTTCGTGTACTTCTACCCCGCCCTTCTCAACCTCCTACGGGGGACTCAGGGCAGCTTACAAAAAGGCACAATTCGATGCCTACACAATAATACAAATAAACGTGTAAAACAGCAATTAAAACAATTAAGACTGTTAAAACAATCAATATATATCACAGTCAATAAACCAATCTCAAGCTCAGCGTTCGCCAACTCAGAGTCTATATTTCGTTCTACATTATCTATTCTTATCGGTCGTCGTAGTCCTTTATTCATCTGCTTGGTCCCAAATCCATGTTTTTAATTTCCTTCTAAAGGAAAGGAGGGATGTCGCTGATCTAATTTCCCCGGGGAGAGAATTCCACAGGTGAGGGGCCACCACCGAGAAGGCCCTGCTCCTCATCCCCGCCAATCTTGCTTGTGATGGAGGCGGGGCCGAGAGCAGGGCCTCCCCAGAAGATCTTAAACTCCGAGGCGGGACGTAGAGGGAGATCCGTTCAGACAGATACGCTGGGCCGGAACCATATAGGGTTTTGTAGGACAAAACCAGCACTTTGAATTGTGCTCGGAATTGGATCGGCAGCCAGTGGAGCTGACATAGCAGAGGGGTGGTATGCTCCCTGTATGACGCTCTGCTTTGAACTGCAATTTATGACATTTACATGCCGCCCTTATCATCCCGAAGGGAACTCAGAGCAGCTAATGTATATATACATTGTTGTTGTTCATTTGTTCAGTCGCTTCCAACTCTGTGACCTCATATATTAAATTATTAGCATAGTACAATATGGGTATTATATATTACTATATTGTACTACGCCATTATATTATAACATTATTAGTAATATTACGTGTAATATAAAGTGAGGCTCCTCGGGTGGCATAGTTTACCAAGATCACCATGGCCCCTGACAGATGGCTGGATGGCCATCTGTCAGGGGTGATTTGAATGCAATAGTCCTTCTTGGCAGGAGGTTGGACTGGATGGCCCATGAGGTCTCTTCCAACTCTTTGATTCTATGATTCTCAATCTGTTGCAGCCTTCTTCCGCCTTCACAGCCGTTGTAACATGTACCATGTTATCCTCCGTCTGCTCCGCTGTTGAAGTCTTCGGAATTATTTAGAAAATGTGTTAAGATGTGGAGTAGAAAAATTAAGACTGAGACTGATATTTCAAATGTAACTTCTGTAGTTTGATGTATAAATTGTATATACAAGGAGGGAAGGGTGGGAGTGGGAAAAAAACCCAATAAAATATTTTTTTTAAAGAAAAAAAGTCTTTGGGTCTTCGGACTGTGCTTGGTCTGGAACCTCCCCCACGGCCACTCCTGGGAGTGCATGACTCCAGTCATTGTGCTCGCAGGTTCATTGGAACACGCAAGCCCCCTCACCACGACAAGGTGACGGTCCATCGAGGGGGTAATTTTATATTAGTAGTAGTATATTGTATTACATTATAATATTATAAATATTATATGAATGTACAATATATTATATTATTAGTAAAGCACAGAAGACAAGATGGAACTGTCTTCAACTGTAGCCCCCTCTCTATTCACTCTAGCCAGAAAAGCAGTTGGTGCCGGGGGCTCCCAACTGATGATATATGCAGGAGACAAGATGGAACTGTCTTCTGCCCCCCACTCTCTTCACTCTGGCCCAGAGCAGCAGTTGGTGCTGGGGGCCCCTCTCTTCACTCTGGCCCAGAGCAGCAGTTGGTGCTGGGGGGGGGGGGGAGGCCTCGCAACTGATGATATAGGCAGGAGACAAGATGGAACTGTCTTCTGCCCCATTCTCTCTGAGATACATGGCAGTGTGGACTCAGGTAACCCAGTTCAAAGCAGATATTTTGGGATTTTCTGCCATGATATTCTGGGTTATAGGGCTGTGTGGAAGGGCTGAGTCCACACTGCCATATATCTCAGTTCAAAGCATATGATGTGTGATTTTATTCAGCTAGGTGGCAGAGGCCCCAGTCCTTCACTCTTCTTTCCTTCTTCCCTTGTTTTTCCTACATACACCTTCCCCCTTCTACTTTCATCTTCCCTTGTTTTTCTTTCTTCCCTCCCTTTTTTGTCCCCTTCTCCCCTCTTTCTCTTCCTTCTGTTCTTTTTCTTTCTTCCCCTTCCATCTCTCCTTCTCCCTTTCTTTTCCTCCCTCAATGCCTTTATACACAGGTCACCTAGTAGCAGTGAATCTGCTTTGCTCCCTTTTCCATTACTTGTCACAGGACATTTCACCTAGCACCAGCCAATCTGTTTTGTTCCTTTTATTTCCCTCAATTCTGGGCTCAAAAGGTATGGGTTTTTAATGTTCTAATCAAAGCATGGACAAACTTGGGCCCTCCAGGTGTTTTGGACTTCAGTTCCCACAATTCTTAACAGCCTAATTTTTATCTTAAGTTGGATAATGAAGGGTATGTGTTCCTAATATAGTCCAGATCCACCAAACATGTAGGAGCCTTCATGGTATCAACATACACAAGATACTTTGGTTTTTACATATATATGATTGTGTGTGTGTGTATTTAAATCACTATCCATTTTTCTTAGGCAGGCATTCTCAGCGATGGTTTTGTGAACTCCATCTGAAAGATAGCCTACAGCCCTTGGTATTCACTGGTGGCTTCCTATTCAAGTATTAACCAAAGCAAACCCAAGGCTTAGGTCCCTTCCACACAGGTGTATAAAATCCACATAGAAATGGATTATCTGGCAGAGTGGACTCAGATAATCCAGTTCAAAGCAGATATTGTGATGATATGCCTTGATATTCTGATTTATATGGCTGTGTGGAAGGACCCTCAGCCCTTTCTAGGGCCCTTCCACACAGCCATATAACTCAGAATATCAAGGTAGATAATCTACAATATTTTGTTTATTTATTTAAATCCCACTTTATCTCTCCATACGGAGACTCAAAGCGGTTCACAATAAAAAATTACAACTACAAATATACCATAATAAAACAGTATATTATATATTATTAGTAATTAATATATAAATATTAATAATTAATATTAATATATTAATATCATTATATTACAATATTATATTGTATTATTATTGTATTACATTATATTCAATATCTGCTTTGAACTTAGTTATCTGAGTCCACACTGCCAGATAATTCAGTTCAATGTGGATTTTATACAGCTGTGTGGAAGGGACCCTACACTGCCATATAAAATCCAGATTATCTGCTTTAAACTGGATTATATGGTACTGTAAACTCATAAAATCCAGTTCAAAGCAGATAATGTGGGTTACCTACTTTGATAATCTAGATTATATGGCAGTGTAGAAGGGCCCCCACTCACCTTCTGAAATAAATGCTGCTCCTGTCCTGAATTGATTCTTCAGATTCCAGTAATTACAACAATCAGGCCTCATCTAGAACACTGCCACTTTAACTATGGATACCGAACACAAATGGAGTCCCCTAAAACTGGCAACAGTAAAGGTTTTCTGGACATCACATAATGGCTGTTTTAGTCATTTACATGTTGTGTTTCATCTGTGCTTCATAAAAAGGAAATCAGCCTCTTTAGCAATATTTGCAAATACTGATTTTATCCGTAGATGTTAGATAAATACATATTTTAAATGCCTACATACCCAGTGTCACATAAAAATGTATTGGCCAAAAGGGGTTATGAGTGGAAAAACTTAAGAAGTCTTTCTATAGAGTATTGTGTTCCATTCTAAGCACCATATTTTAAGGATATGGGCATGCTGAAGCAGGTTGAAAAAGGCAACAAGGATGATAAGAAGTATGAAGAATAACCACACAAAGAAAGGTTGAAGGAGATGAGCTGTTCACTTAGGTAAAAGAAGTCTAAGGGGTGATGCAACAGAACTTTTTACTGCAGTAACAATAGTCAGAAGAATATCATCCCACTGTTATATATTTGACTGGTGCTCAAAAGGTGTTACAGAGTGGTGGGGTAAGCTTTTCAAGCACCCCAGAACTAATGGTTTGAAATTACAAGAGAGTAGATTTTGGCTAAACATTAGAAGAAACTTCTCAAAAATAAGAATGGTTCAGCAAGGGAATCAACAGCCTAGATGGATCTTTCTGAAGATGCTCTATGAACGTTTTTTTTAAAAAGGCAGACAGTCTCCTGTTGGAGAGTCTTAGCTGGAGATCCAGCATTGAGCAGGATTTGAACTCATAGCAAAAATTTTATAGGACATTAATTTTCAAAATAAATACATCCTCAAAACACTTTGGTCAGAAGATCTTCTTAAAATAAAGACCCTTTTTATGTTGTCATATTCAGAACATTGTTATCAACATTCAAATATCAAAAGTATCTTAGGATCTGTTTTCCAAAGATGGCACAAGAAGTTAACACAATCAAATAACAGATTCTGAATGGGTTTATGTCATGTATGTCCGTATACTGGATGTTTTTGCTGATTTTTGTCCTACTGGATGATATAAACAAAACTCCATCAGCTTCTTTTTTCATGTGTGAAAGCACATGATTTTCTGTATACATCTTTGAAGTCCCATTAATTCAGTGTGTAACGAAGTCAAATTTCTTTCCAGTGCTTCTTGTGGTTCTCCTTACATCTATTGGGAGGAAAAAAGAAACAAAATGAAAATCAATTGTACACACTTATTCGAGATTTTCCTCAAATTTCTGTTACGAGTGTTCTGGTTCCTCAGCAAAATACAATTCCCAGCATTCCATAGCACTGAGCCAGACTGCATTAATTCTACAATGTAGAAACTCCCTAATTTGAAGAGTGACGAAGGGGAGCCAGGAAGACAGAGTTCCACCATCTCTCCTGGGTCATCGGTTGGGAGCCCCTCCCCCCAGCAATATAGTAATATAGTAATAATAATATTATAACGTAATACAATATAATACTACTAATTATACAATATAATAATTATATATTTTATATTACATGTAATATTACTAATAATATAACAGTATAGTGGTATTCTTTTCTGTATCAGGAGCGACTTGAGAAACCATATATTGTATAGTATAAGTGCTGTGCTAATAATATAATATATTGTATACATATATAATATTAATAATATTATAATGTAATACAATATAATAATAATAAAAATATAGTAATTATACATTTTATATTACATGTAATATTACTAATAACATTACAGTATAGTGGTATAGTACAATATAGTAATATGCTAATAATATAACATATTGTATGTTCATATAAGCTGCTCTGAGTCCCCTTCAGGGTGAGAAAGGTGGGATATAAATGTCATAAATAAATAATAGGACTTCTATTGTTGCTTTTGTTGGAAGTTGGCCTAGAAAATTATTTATTTATTTATTTCTCACCCTGAAGGGGACACAGGGCGAAGCACAACATATAAATGGCAAACATTCAATGCTGAAACATACCAGACCATACACATACAAAAGCATTAAAATCACTTATCTTGATGTTAAAATCCACCAGTTAAAACTGTCGCAACAACCATATCAGATTTGGTTGGCATACTAAGGGTTCCTATCACTGCTTCATTCCTAGAGAAATTCCTAGAGGTAACATATTAATCAAATCTGTGAATAATAAAATCAGCACAACTCAAATCCGCAAATGTGGAGGGCTGGCTATACATGTGCATTTGTTTGTTTCTGGCCATGGACTTATTCTGATATTTTTCAGAGGTCTTTCTTGCTCTATGTTTGCTTTAGGTACAAAGGGAGCAGTCTTACATTCCACCAGCTGGGAGGAATGTAAACAATAAATGTCCATGCCCCTATTAAGCATGTTATTTCTCTATTTGATTACACCTTCTTCCTCCTGGCACACGATTGTTTTTGGAAAGAGGTCTGTTCTCAAAACCAGTGCATATCAGTTACATGTTAACTTCTGCTCTGTAGCACAGAAAGTGTGCACAACAGCCAGAGACAGGTTGAATGTTTTCTTAATAATAATAATAATAATAATAATAATAGGTTCTTGTGGGTTTTTCCGGGCTATAGAGCCATGTTCTAGAGGCATTTCTCCTGACGTTTCGCCTGCATCTATGGCAAGCATCCTCAGAGATAGTGAGGAGGTATTATTATTATAATAATAATAACTTTATTTATACCTCGCCACCATCTCCCCAAGGGACTTGGAGCGGCTTACATGAGGTCAAGCCCAACAACACATCACAACAAAAAGCAATAACAGCAATACAAAATAATATAAATCACATATAACAATAACACAGAGAATTTAAAAACCTATGGCCAAGCTAGATGTAATGATTTAAAATTTAAAAGAGTAACACTGGATATGACAAGATAGGATATATATAGGACGTATAATTAAATAGGACCAAAGACAACATGTAGCCAATCGCTGCAACCATATCATTATAAAGAAAGAAAGAAAGAATATTATAACATCTACTCTCGAAAGAAATGTAAAGCCTGCTGTTAAAGGGCCAGCGGCACAGGCAACTTCAGAAGGGTACAGCAGTCCCTCCAAGCTAGAGAGAGGTATGACCCCAACCAGCCACCGTAGCCGCTGCCATTGCCATTCACCTGCTCACGAGAGGTCGAGCTTCTTCTGCGTGACGGCCAACTGGTCCTGCAGCCGCCGCTTCCGCCAGTCGAGGTAACGCCGCCGCACTCTGTTCGCCTGCCAGCCCACCAGGATGCCCGAAGCGAAGGCCAGCAGCAGCGCCACCTTCACGGACCGCTCCGACATGGAGTCAGAAATTAGCGCCATGGCCGCTCCGCTTCCGGCCTGCTACGGGAGCTCGTGGGACCCAAACTACTTTGTCTTGCGCTCCACCCAAGGAAAGGAGGCGTGGGAGAGACAGAACGTTGACTATGTCTAGCGAGTGTACTGCAGCTCCCTCTAGTGGTCATGCGCGGTTATTTCCTGAATATAGTTTTATCAGGCCTGGGCAAACTTGGGCCCTCCGGGTGTTTTGGACTTCAACTCCCACCATTCCTAACAGCCGGTAGGCTGTTAGGAATGGTGGGAGTTGAAGTCCAAAACACCCGGAGGGCCCAAGTTTGCCCAGGCCTGTGCTAACTTAAAGTGGGAGTCCTATCACAATCCACAATGATTCCTAAACTTTGCATTTTCAGTTATTTAGCTCCCAGAAGCCCCGACCAGCTTACCCAATTCTGGAATCTGACGTCCAAAAAGACGGGACCCAAAGAATCTCATGGTTTCAGTGTTGCACCTGGGTGATCCAGGTTCTTGGTGCATCTACATTTTAGAATTAATGCAGTTTGGCACCCCTTTTAACAGCCAAAGCTCAATGCTATAGAATTGTGGGAGTTAACTCGGTGCAGTGAATGGGACGATTATAGATTGGTAATATGGATGACGAAATTGGACCACGATTTTAGTTAAGAGATGCATTGAATAGTGATTTATGTGTCAATATTGTGTATTATGTTTTTTATGGTTTTAAATTGTATATTGTGGACTGTGTATCTTGTTGTAAACCGCGTTGAGTCTCCAGCTAGGCTGAGAAACGGCGGTATACAAGTACAGTAAATAAATAAATAAATAAATAAGTTATAGGTTTGCAAGATTCTTAGCCATCTCTGCCCAAGAGTGTTGGTGCCTCACCAAACTACATCTCCCCAGATTCCATACCATTGAGGCATAGCACTTAAAGTGGTATTAAACTGCATTAATTCTACAGTGTAGATACACCCCTTGTCTACCACTCAGACCTTGCACCAGTTGCTCCCTCAACTAATGGGGCTTAACGTACCTTACAGGGTTGTTGTGCCGGTACAATGATGAGGGCAAGGGTCTTTAAAGTCCTGAGCAAAAGGTATGGTGTCACTTCCCCATGGACCTCTTGTACCAGATCCTACAACAATATTGTAACTAAAATACCAGAAATATTGTCAAAATCAGCAACATCAAACAGTAGCAGCTAACACATGCATGGATGTAAAGCACATGTAAACAAAACCATGTGATTCAAAACATCATTGTTATGAGATCATGATGACAGCTTGGAATATGCATTAGAAAGGTCAAAAAGTAGAATACTAGAGAGTTTTACATAGTATACAGCTTTCTCTGCCAAAGAATGTGGTGTTTCACTAAACTACAACTCCGAGGATCCTATAGCACTGAGCCATGGCAGTTAAAATACGGTAGTGTTAAAGTGCATTAATCCTACAGTATAGATGAGGCATGGACAAACTATCGCCCTTCAGGTGTTCTGGACTTCAACTCCTACAATTCCTAACAGCTTACTGGCTGTTGGGAATTGGGGGACTTGAAATCCAAAACACCTGGAGGGCCAAAGTTTGCCCATGCCTGGTATAGACACATCCTCTACACCAGGCATGCTCAAACTGTGGCCCTCTAGCTGTTGGGACCTCCAACTTCCAGAAGCCCTACCTAGCCTGTTCAGTAGCCAGGAATTCTGGGAATTGGAGACCCAAAGCTGGAGGGCCACAGTTTGAGGATGCCTGCTCTATATTGTAGGATTAATACATTTTTGGCCTGGGGGCTGAATTTGAACTTGGGAAGGCTCTTGGGGGCCCTGTTCCATCAGTAGGCAGGATCCAAGGCAATGGGCTAATCCAAATGTAGCCCATTTGGACTTTTCCCCACCAAGCCAACCAAGAGTTTGGAAGTAGCATTTACAAATAACATTTCCTAGTATATATTTCTTTCAGGAAACTAAGAAGTGACAATGTTCCTTCTGTGAAATTATAACAATTGGCAACAATTTGAAAGCTCTCCAGATGTTGTGAACTAAAGCTTTCACAGACCTTTGTACAGTCCTGCTACTCTTTGAGCATCAATATTAACACAATTAGATATGTGTGTATTTGTTATAGTTTTTATGGGGGAGAGGTTCCCTTTAAATACAGCTGAATGAATATTACTGTGCTTTTTCTATGCAAACTCCCCATATGCCTGCCCCTGGTTAGTTAAGTGCTTCCTCAGCATTCCTGGGCCGCTGCTTAAAGAAACAACCTTGAGTTCACTGAAATGCCAAGCTTCCTTTTCCTATGTGCCAATTCCACTAACAGCAGATGAATGCAGCTGGAAATGGGAGGCCCGCACCACCCACAATCCACAAAGGTTGCCAACTTTTCTGCTGTCCTATGGCACTGTCGGTATGAAAACAACCAGCTGTGCAAAAAGCTCAACCAAAACAAGTTACTTTTTTTTGGACCACAACTCTCACTGTTGTATAGCCAATGTGGGCAGGGATATAACTACAAGGGGAGCAAAATGAAGGCATTGCCTCCTGAAACAAAAATTCTGCCCCAATGAAATATTCCTTTAGTCCTTACAATGGCTAGCTTTGCAAAGAGTGAGGCACTGAAAACCATGTACATTTAGCACTGTTTCTTAAACTGTGTGTCTGAATGTAACTCAATGTTGGGGTCATAAAAATGGCAATAGTAAAAGGTTTCTGAACAACATCCATTTACACAAATCTAATAACAACAACATACAGTGTTTACAGTGAAATGTAGAAAATGCTTTCTTTCCACAAAAATAAATTGCTGCATCTCCACTTCACTTATGCTACTTATGCCTGCTCCAATTATTTAAACACATTGGAGTCCTGATAATGGCTGAGTTTTTCCTGTTGTTTTTCCTCAATGCGACTGTCACCTGGTATGGCGACATCAATAATCCAAACTTTTTTCTTTTCCACAATCATGATTTCTGGCATATTGTGTTCCAAAACTTTGTCAATCAGGATTAGAAAGTTCCACAGTATTTTTGTGTGTTCATTTTTCACAACCTTTGCAGGTTGATGATCCCACCAATTCTTTATTGCTGGCAGGTGGTACTTTTGACATAAGTTCCAGTGAATTATTTGGACCACAGAGTTGTGCCTTTGTTTGTAGTCCGTCTGTGCGATTTTCTTGCAGCAGCTGAGGATATGATCCATGGTTTCATCAGCTTCCTTGCACTATTATTATTATTATTATTATTATTATTATTTTACTGACACAAAAGCAGAGTATGTCACAGCAAACGAGATCTATATGCTGGATTGTATCTGAGGGACCACCTCACCCCCTACCAACCCCAGAGATCCCTCCGTTCTGAGGACCAAGATCTATTGGAAATTCCCAGTGTCAAGACCTTGCGTCTAACAGCAACGAGACGCAGAGCCTTTACAGCAGTGGCACCATCGCTCTGGAACACTGTGCCACCTGAAGTCCGTGCCTTGCGGGACTTATCAGCTTTCTGCAGGGCATGTAAGACATACCTGTTTCGACAGGCTTTTAATGTTTGATATTGCTGTTTTTAAATTGTTTTAAATAGTTTTTAAATTGTGTTAGATTTTAGCCATTCTTGTAAGCCGCTCCGAGCCCCAGGGGAGTGGCGGCATATAAGTTCAAATAATAAATAAATAAAAAGTCAAACACTTTCCATTTGTGATTTTTTGATACAAAATCCAGCATATTATTATTATTATTATTATTATTATTATTATTATTATATTGTGAGTTATTCTACCTTTATATTCTGGGTGTGTGATATTCTGGGTGCGTGGATATTATATGGGTGTGTGGAAGGGACCTGAGGCCCCTTCTACACTGCCCTGTATTCTAGGATCAGATATCTGCTTTGAACTGGATTATATGCGTGTCCACTGGCAGATAATCTGGGATAAGCAGATAATCTAGGATCAGATCCTGGGATATGGGGGCAGTGTGGAAAGGGCCTGAGGATTCAAGTCTGCAGAACTGCTTTTATAGCACTATGCTATTTTGGCTCTCTGATCTGAAAGTAGATTGCCTGAGTTACTTCCTCGCTGTCTTTGCAGAAAGGTAAATATTAAGCTGTTGTGGCAAGCATTTACTTAAGTGTCCATTCCACAGCTAGTATCAGAAGCCTCATTACATGATGGCATGTGATATCCAGGAGAAAAGGTCAAGGAATGAAATCCCGGGAATGAGAGGCACGCCAAAGAGGAGGGATGTCCTCCTGTCAAATGCACAAGCCTACCTTATCTGCCAAGACTGACTTCTAAAAGGAGAAGAGGCTGTTGGGAATTGTACGAGTTGAAGTCCAAAACACCTGGAGGGCCCCAGTTAGCCTATGCCTCATTTGTGAAGTGAATGCACTTCAACACCACTTGAACGGCCAGGGCACAGGGCTATGGAGTCCTGGGAATCGTACACTCTTTTGCCTGAAGCCTTCCCTGAAAGGACCTCATCACACTAGACCAGTGGATCTCAACCTGTGGGTCCCCAGATGTTTTGGCCTACAACTCCCAGAAATCACAGCCAATTTACTAGCTGTTAGGATTTCTGAGAGTTGAAGGCCAAAACATCTGGGGACCCACAGGCTGAGAACCACTGCAGTAGAGAATGAATCCACTTTAAACCTGGTTTTTGCTTCCTGCAGAATTCTGTGGTTTGTAGTTTACAGGCTGTTAAAAGCTCCTCCCTAAACTACAAACCCTAGAATTCTGCAGGAGGCAGCAACTGGATTTAAAGCGAATTCATTCTCTTTTTTAGAATATATATAATCTTTATAGAAAATTTTCCTTAAAAACATTTTTTAAACGTTAAGAGAGGTTAAAATGAAAAATAGAATAGAGCAACATAAAGTGATCTAATATAAAGAACTAGTGGAGAAAAACAGCAAAGCCTAGAGAAGACAATTAGGCTGGGGAAAGTGGAAGGTAAAAGGAAGAGGGGCCGACCAAGGGCAAGATGGATGGATGGCATCCTTGAAGTGACTGGACTGACCTTGAAGGAGCTGGGGGTGGTGATGGCCGACAGGGAGCTCTGGCGTGGGCTGGTCCATGATGTCACGAAGAGTCGGAGACGACTGAACGAATGAACAACAACAACAAGTGGAGAAAAAGAGAAGGAAGAAGAGAGAAAGAAAGAAATAGAAATATTTTGACTCCTGGTTTCTTCTTTTCATTCGTTCCCTTTCTTTCTTCTCCCATCTTTTTCTCTTTTTTCCCTTTTTGTACTGGAATATTTTCCTTCTTTCTCATATCTATTTTCTTTATATTTCTAAGAATTCTGTAACTTGGTTCCAATTACTTTCTTTCCTAGGATTTTCTTTATTTTTGGAGATCAGGTACGTAAGTTCATCCATGTTTCTTATATCTTGAATTTTTGACATCCAATCTTCCTCTTCTGGTATCTCTTTCCTTTTCCATAGTCTTGCGTAGCATAACCTTGCTGCAGTAGTTAATAAAAATAATAGCTTATCTGTGTTTTCATCTATTTTTAGGTCATGTATCTCTAATAGGAAGATTTCTGGTTTTAATGGTATGTTGTTGTTCATTTGTTCAGTTGTTTCCGACTCTTTGTGACCTCATGGACCAGACCACACCAGAGCTCCCTGTTGCCCGTCACCATCCCCAGCTCCTTCAGAGTCAAGCCAGTCACTTCAAGGATGCCATCCATCCATCTTGCCCTTGGTCGGCCCCTCTTTTTTTTCGTTCCATTTTCCCCAGCATAATTGTCTTCTCCAAGCTTTCCTGTCTTCTCATGATGTGGCCAAAGTACTTAATCTTTGTCTCTAGTATCCTTCCCTCCAATGAGCAGTCGGGCTTTATTTCTTGAAGTATGGACTGGTTGGATCTTCTCACGATCTAAGGCACTCTCAGAACTTTCCTCCAACACCACAGTTCAAAAGCATCTATCTTCCTTCGCTCAGCCTTCCCTAAGGTCCAGCTCTCACATCCGTAGGTGACTACGGGGAATACCATGGCTTTGACTATGCGGATCTTTGTTGCCAGTGTGATGTCTCTACTCTTCACTATTTTATCGAGACTGGACATTGCTCTCCTCCCAAGAAGTAAGCGTCTTCTGATTTCCTGGCTACAGTCTGCATCTGCAGTAATCTTTGCACCTAGAAATACAAAGTCTGTCACTGCCTCTACAGAAGCCCTCCGTGGTGCAGTGGGTTAAACCCTGTGCTGGCAGGACTGACGACTGACAGGTCGCAGGTTCAAATTGGGGAGAGGCGGATGAGCTCCCTCTATCAGCTCCAGCTCCTCATGTGGGGACATGAGAGAAGCCTCTCACAAGGATGATAAAAACATCCAATCATCTGGGCGTCCCCTGGGCAACGTCCTTGCAGACGGCCAATTCTCTCACACCAGAAGCAACTTGCAGTTTCTCAAGTGCTCCTGACACGACAAAAAAAAAAATCAGTCCTAACAAATTTTGCTTCGGGAGGGGCTGAGCTTGATTCGGGGGGGGCTGAGTCTGAGTGAAAGAGGGTCTACCTAGCAAACCTTTTGTATCGTTACCCCAATACCCCCATGCATATGGGATATATTGAGCGTGGTGATCAGATCATGATATGAATAAACATAACAGTTTAAATAATGTACCAGTAAGGCCTTTTCGCAGACCACCATGAGAATTTCGGGGGGGGGGGTGAAGCCCCCCAACCTCCCCGCTACATGCCTGGCCTCCACGTTTTCTCCTTCTATTTAATGGTATCTTTATCCCTCATATTTCTTGCATATTTTTCTGGATTTTTTCTTCCTATAATTTTTTGCAAGTCCACCACAAGTGAATTCATTCTCTAGTGTGATGAGGTCCAAAAGTGTGGGCGCCTCCCCAAGCGGCGAATCCCGTGATTCCACATGATGCACTGATTCTTGGCAGTTAGTGGTACCGAACTGCATCCATCCTCCAGTGTAGATGCACCCCTAGCGGGGAATTTGGGGATCTCCTCCAGCTGCCTGCCTGCAAGAGGACTGGCCAGAGAGGAGCTGACTCTGCAAAGGGAAAAAAGAGAGAGAGAGAGGAGGCAACGGGACCTTCGCCTCCCTTCCTTCCTCCCTCCCTCCGTCCAGACCTCTTCCCTTGTCGGGGGGTCAAAAGCTTCCTCCGCAGAGAAGCGCAGGGATGGAGGCCGCCGGGGGGAGCCGGGAAGGGAGCCCCAAAGAGGAGGGGGAGAAGGAGGAGAAGGAGGAGACCGAGCCAACGCCGACGCCGCGCATTCCCGTCTCAGCAGCCATGGGAGACGCGGCGCAACAGGAGGTGAGCTCGGCCCGGCTCTTCTCCTTCTCTTCCACTTCCTTCTCTTCCTCTCTTTCCTTCTCCTCCTTTTTCTTTTCCTCCTCCTCCTCTTCATTCTCCTTCTTCCCCTCCTCATCTTCCTTTTCCTCCTCCTCCTCCTTTCTTGTCCTGCTCCTCCTTTAACTTTTTTTCCTCCTCCTCCTCCTCCTCCCCATCATTCTCTTCGTTCTCCTCCTCCTCCTTCCTCTTCTCTTTCTTCATCAATCCCCTAATTTTTCCATCCTGCTCCTTCCTCTTCTCTTTCTTTATCATTCTACTTCTTCCTCTCCTCCTCCTCCTCCTTCTTCTGGGGTGTTCTTCCATCCGGAGCATTGGCTGAGCTTGGAGGAGTTTCCACTTCCCTCTGACTCCAGGCCCTGCCCTTCTTCTTTCCCCCTTTCTTCTTCCCTGGACCAAAGCCCCTGCTTTTCTTCCCCCTCTCGCCCTTCCTATCAAGGGTGTCCCCCCAAAAATGTATGCACTCTTCAATAGCTATAACAGGCATGAGCAAACTTGGGTCCTCCAGGTGTTTTGGACTTCAGCTCTCACAATTCCTAACAGCCTAGGGTTGAAAGTAATGCCTCCACCTTCATAACTCTTCATCTGGTGGCAGTACTGGTATGTGGCAGGTACTGGCTTGTTCAGTAGACTCTCCTCTACAGTTCCATTTTGGTGGGAAGCCTTAGCATTGAAAGTTTGTGTTGTTAAAGTGCAAAGTATGGAACCCTGCACAGATGGTTGGTCAATGCGACTTAAGCAACGTGCAGTCATTGAATTCTTGACAGCAGAAGGTGTCACCCCAAAGGAGATTCATCAGAGAATGTTTATGGTGATTGTTTTTTGTTTGTTTGTTTGTTTTGACATTTTGCAAATGGCATACTTTTTATTTCTTCACACAGAACACAAATCTAAACAAGATTTTGCAAAAAGCACTCTGCCTTTTATTTTTGAAGTCCACAGAAATGAAGGAAAAGTCTGTCTGGAAGATTAAACGTATCTAGGTTCATTTGAAACATTACATATTTCTCACTATTAAATGCTCAGTTAACTTCCAAATTCAAAACATGTGAACAGGAAAATAACACTAACAGTTATCTTTTTCCAAAGTATGAAACACTGAGAGCCATATGAATCCCTGCATCACAGGCTTTCATGGCTGGAATCATTGGGTTGTTGTGAGTTTTCCAGGCTGTATGGCCATGTTCCAGAAGCATTCTCTCCTGACATTTCGCCCACATCTATGGCAGGCATCCTCAGAGGTTGTGAGGTCTTTTGGAAATTAGGCAAGTGAGGAATAATGTGGAATAATGTGGAGAAATGTGGGAGAAAACACTCTTTTTTTTAATGGTAAAGTCTTTATTAATTATTTGACACAATCCCATATATAATCAGAAAATATAGGTTCAGAAATAATGAAATATATCTGGATCTGTATGTAGATGGTGATTGTTTTGATGTGTGCATCGTTGGGTGAGTAAGTTTAAAGATGTTGAGGTGGGAACATCTGACTTGCGTGACAAAGAGTTGGACGTCCTGTGAGAGCAACCACCGAGTTTCACAAGCAAAAGGTTGACAGATTGATTCAGGATGATCGTCATATCGCTCAGAGAGAAATTTCAAGCATAATCAGCATTTCACAAGAATGTGTGGATAACATTATTGCTTTGCTTGGCTATTGGAAGATCTGTGCATGATGGGTACCCAGGATGCTGATGCCTGAAATGACAGTGCACAGACTTCTTCCGTGAAGGCTTCAGAAAACTTGTTCATCGTTGGCAGAAATGTATCCAATTGTCTGGTGATTATGTGGGAAAGTGAATAGTGGCAGTTGAAGAGTACATTCTAAGGATTATTTCTGCATTTGATTTATTAAAATATTCCCATCCAAACCCAAGTAACGAAGGTGGAGGCATTACTTTTCATTCAACCCTCATATCAATCCTGGGCTATCAAGAGCTGGCCTGTCAATAAACCAGTTACTGAATGCAAATCCCTTTAAGTCTCTCTTTCTGTGGGGATAGGGGGAACAGGCTCTCAGCGTCAGGTGAATCACACAAGCATCTCTGCTTCATTCGGAAAAATGCTGCACTCACAGAGCTCAAGTGGTGTTGTATTTTAGTCTCAATGTTGACTTGTGTGGAGAGGTGGCTGCCAAGTTAGTGGAAATGGTCAACATTAAGTTGAATCCCGGGCATTGCAGATGGATTGGCTGCTGACTGCTGGAAGGGCACTTTGGTTTTCTCGATGTCCAATGACAGACCGAGCTTCTCGTATGCTTCTGCAAAGGTGTTTAGAGTGGCTTGTACGTCTTCCTCTGAATGCATATTGGAGTTCTATAACAAATATGCAGTATATATATTTTTGAAAGAAATTCCAGAATTGGGTTAAGGATAAATAGTGGTATCTGATACAAACCTTAAAAATTGAGTTCCCAATTTCCAGGAAAACAGCATAGTATTTTGTCCTTTAATTCTTCCTGTCACACCTTATGTTTTTGTATTAAATTATTCATAATTTCTAGGCTTTCTAATTTAAGCAAAACCCCCACAATGTCCTTATAATTTTATCTCTTTCTTAAACTTAATCAAAACTTAATTATTCTTCAGAACTTGCTGACATCATCTCCCCTTTTCTTAGTGTCAAATAGAATGTAAGACCAATACAGTTTGCAGCCTTGCACAAATTGTATTGGTTTTACTTCAGTTGCAGAGTTAACTTGTCCATCTCTGCAAATTCTAATGATGTACTAATTCATTCCTCTTCTTATGGGATTTTCAATATTTTCCAACATTTAGCTCAGAGTATTTGTACTGCTGTCGCCATATGCTAAGCTAGTCTACCATTTTCTGTATAATTGTCAAAGCCAAAGAAGCCCAATAAGAATGCTTCTGATTTGAGACCAAGTTTCATTTTTTAAATATTCTGCATTCTTGATCTTATCAGTAGCCAGAACTTCTTAGCTTTACAGCATTTCCAACACATTGGGGAAATGTCCCAATCTCTCTTGTACGTTTCCAACATTTATTATCTATTTATCGTGTCTGAAATGAATGGAGAATACAGTTATAATGTATAGAAAAACCACAAACAAAGTTAAAAACTTGGCATTATACCTACTAAATTTCCTTTGAACAGAAGCTGGCCTCTTTGAATGCCTCTGGTGTCACTATCAGAAGGTTCTCCATTGTGCATGTGGCAGTGCTCAGACTCCATTGTTGTAAGTGGTCTGTGATTTGCTCTTCTCCACACTCACATGTTGTGTACTCCACTGTGTAGCCCCATTCCTTAAGGTTAGCTCTGCATCTTGTGGTGCCAGAGTGCAGTCTGTTCAACGCCTTCCAATTCGCCCAGTCTTCTGTGTGCCTAGGAGGGAGTTTCTCATCTGGTATCAGCCATTGATTGAGGTTCTCGGTTTTAACCTGCCACTTTTGGACTCTTGCTTGCTGAGTCCTGCGAGTATCTCTGTTGAACTTAGGAAGTTATTTCTTGATTTAAGGCATTAACTTGCTGGCAGATATCCGAACAGAAGATGGGTTGGAGATGTCAATGCCTTGGTCTTTTGATTACAGGCTGCTACTTCCCAATGGATGTCAGATGGTGCAATACCAGCTAAACAGAATAATTTCTCCAGTGGTGTTGGGTGTATACATCCTGTGAAAATACTATCTCAAAAGCTAAACCAGAATGCTACAGAGCTAAGTCATTAAGAGACACATCCACTGTTTTAATGTGGGGAGGTGTCTTCCTCACTGGACATGCGTATTCAGCAGCAGGGTAGCAAACCCCAAGGGCAGATGTCTTCACTGTGTCTGATTGTGTTCCCCAGGTTGTTCCAGTCAGCTTTTGTATGATATTATTTCTAGCATTCACTTTTTGCTTGATATTCAAGCAGTGCTTCTTATAAGTCAGATCATTTGTTCTCGGCTCCTATATATTATAAATATATTTATATATTTGCTACTCTCTCTGGTGACACGTAGCATTGATATATCATTTTTGAAAAGTTATAACAACTTTTAATGTCTTTGTATTGTCGAAGGCTTAAAAACCTCCAGAGAAGGAGACTCCACCATACTCCCATCAGAAAGTTCATCCTCAATTAATGTCTTTGATCCACATCTTTTGCCTTTTCCACAAAAGATCTGCTTCTGGGGAAGATCAACACAACTAGATTATTGGAATAGATTTCGGTGTATAAAATGGATGCACCATAATAGTTGTAATAGTTGGTGATATATTCTTGTATAAATACAGTAATAAGAATAGAATAGGTTTCCAACACAATCCTGATTGAGGTTGCTAGTGGAAAATTAATTCCTAAAAGTTCTTGAAACATTGCAGGAAATTTTATTTTCTTCTCATGAATTGCTGTATGATTGCTTTTCACTTGGGAAAACTGCACAAAATAATTAAAAAACAGAACTGGATTTTCAATATGGTTCCAATACAGCTGCATGTATTTTAGAGTTCATTGTGGACATCGATAGAGGAACTGTCAGATGAACAACTGCAGTTCAAATTTATTACTACATCCCTGAATCAGAGAGGCTTATTTGGCATGCATGGAAGCATAGAGATATAGAATTGGAAGAGATTCGAAGGGCCATCCAGTCCAACCCCATTCTGCCATGCAGGCACACACAATAAACCAGTCCTGACAGATGGCTATCCACTGCCTCTGCTTAAAAACCTGCAGAGAAGGAGACTCCACCACACTCCCAGGCAGCATATTCCAACATCGGACAGCTGTTGCCATCAGAAAGCTCATCCTCATATTTCAGTGCCCTGTAGAATTGCTACAGTTTAATTTGGCATTTCTATAGTTAATAAACTATAAAGGCTCTACCCTTTAATAGAGCTCAGTTTTCACAGAGGCATGTATAGAAAAAGGCCCTTTCTCTGTCTATTGATGTGACTGCTGTTCTTCTTAAACTCTACCTGCAGGGCAGTTGATAGTGTAACTTTAAAAATAAACAAGAATA